GCGTTTAAACACATTTTAAAGAAATTGACACTGCATGTGTTTCCATTCATTTACCCATAATCCCCCATGGACTTTTCACTCAGAATTACGGAGCACGGGCCTTGATGCACTAACACAGAGGTGTTCGCCAGGTGTGTATATTATATAGGTTCTACAACCAACTACAGTCCGTTTCGCTCCAAATTAAAACGATAAATTGCAAAAGAATACAAAATCCGGAACAGTCTATTTAATGTCAATACGGTACACGGCAACGAATACCCTGTACCCAACAATACCTGTTTTTTGTTATTTTCATTCCCCTCACTGGAAAAAAAAGTCGTTTAAGAAACTATCATGTTGTTATGTGTACAAGTTGACATTTTGAACGGAGGGGGCACAACGATAGGAGGAACAGCGCAACACGTACTGCACGTGCTACACAAGGGTGCAGGAAACGCCAGCATAAAGAGGGGTCGTCTGTCCGTGTGATTGGACAGATTCTGGTTCTATAATGCCCTTATAACAATCGACGATGGAACGTTATAAGTTGTCCATCGGCCACTCGAGTACATGGGTTGGTGAGTCGGTGTTATTATCCCGGTCACTGGATCAGTGTGCACTCCATTTTTCATTCTCATCTCCCTTAGGAGTATATGCCATTATACGAATATAAAATCATTACTTGTTCCTCAAAAATATGTATCTGAACCTCAGGATAGAACTTTGAGAAGATGTTTGTGTAAATTACGTATATCATTACATAATTGTAGTGTTAATAATCTCAGAAAGAAAAATGTACAAGATAAAGAAAGTAGTTTATGCCGTTTTTGTAATGAAGGCTATGTTGAGGATGAGTTTCATGTACTTCTCATTTGTAAATATTATCAGCTTCTTAGAAATAGATACCTCCCTATGATTTCAACTATGTACAAAGATGAACAATTGATGAAAAATTTGTTGAACTCCCGCAATGCGAATACAATATCATCTCTGTCAATATTCCTGAAGAAGATTTTTGAAATTAGACGTTAATATTATATGTAAACTTATTATTACCTACACGTGACTGTACAATGTTGATACATAAAAAAAACCCCACTTCTGTACTATAGGTCATATGGCCTAAAATATTGAATAAACTTCTGTCTGTCTGTCTGTCTGTATAAAACCCAAGCTGCCTTGTCAGGTTAGGTGCTAGAAGGCTAACAGTCACATTACCATCTAATCCTACCGGGTACCCACTATATTGCTGGGTGAACAGAGGCATGTTTCGATGAAGGTCATTGCCCGAGGAGACACCCCAAGTGCCATTGTGTTTGGGGCAGGACCAGAATACGAGAAACTCTCAGGAGTCAAGCTGCCAAAGACTCTCCCCGACCGATGTGCCCAGAAGTTGTTTTCTCCTCCTTCTCCCCCTTAACACAACAAAATACACAACTACAACGTATTGGGATACGGTACGGTGCACTGGCTGACCGCAGTTTATTCTTCAACACATATCCACATTATCATCAACATCGTCCGCACCACGAAACATCACCAGCATCATGACCATCAACCAACCGTAATTTACATGAATATAAATTCGATGCTTCATAATTCCCCCGTATACATATACACGGGCATCGACGCCTTATCACGTATTCAATTTCCAAATTTGACGCATCAGTGACAAAAATGATGTCCGATGCAATTCCTTATTTTAACCATATGTTCCTGTGTGTTTTTTTCAGGTGGATAATTGACTTGCCTTTGCATGTGTTTGTGACGGGTGTCACCAGTGGGGCAGGGTACGCTCATCTTATCGCGAATTCCTGGTATCATCACTATTTGATAGTGAGTCATAAACACAAGCTTATGATATAGTCGGAATTGTACAATCGACTATGTATTTCTATTGGATGTGGAAAGGGTTGTGTTGCTTTATCAACTTCACCTGATTTGTAACGGTGCTATAACGTGCCAGTCCCCTCCTGTATGTGGCTGTGGGGGTTGACTGCAGGGGTCAGTATACTGTTGTAATACACTGCCTGGCAAAAGAAAGTATACACTTGAATACTGGATATGATCCCAAAATTTGAAACGTCGTCGAACGTCTGAAATCAGTCGCTGAAACACTGCAGACTTAAGTGTAATACCTGTATCAAATACATCACCATCGAATAACTATTTCTTGTTTGTTTTATGTTTAGCCAAAATCATACACGGATGTATTCCTTCTTTTGCCGGCAGTGTAGTCAAAACACTATTGCAATAATAGTACGAGGAATACATTTTCTTTCAATGATGTAACAAATATAATTCGACATTATTCAACATAAGATGTTTGGGAATTTAGGAATAAACTTAGTATTGTCTAAAATATATATATGAACATGGTGCGAATTGATACTTACATGTCTGGAAAAGAAAGGCTAATTTCCGACGGTGGGGTAGCCTAGTGGTTAAAGCGTTCGCTCGTCACGTCGAAGACCCGGGTTTGATTCCCGACATGGGTACAATGTGTGAAGCCCATTTTAGGTGTCCCCCGTCGTGATATTGCTGGAATGTTGCTGAAAGCGGCTTAACACTACACTTACCCACTTACTTATTTCGGACACAAATGGGTGTAAAATGTAACGCTTGGCGGTTATTCTTTCGTTTCATGAGCTCTATGGCAGTGCAAGTCGGCACCGATGTTCATTGTTGATGTTTTAGGTGGTCGTCGATGCTGGCAAACCTAGAATCATAATTAGGGCGAATTCGAACCCAAGATCATAGGTTTTTCTGGCACGACAAGAATTCGAGCAGGAACTGGGAAAGAGCGGGCGCTAACAACAGGCGCCAATAAGCTGCCCCAGCTTTTATTTAAAAATACTTTAACTATACATACAAAACGTCAGCGCCAGGGATTAACCAGTGTCGATTATCCATCGAAACAGACTCCACAGGGCGTAAAAGGCAAAATAGTTGGGGAAATGATATAAATGGATCCCTGGAACCAGTGATGAGTGAGTGAGTGAGTATGGTTTTACGCCGCTTCTAGCAATATTCCAGCAATATCACGGCGGGGGACACCAGAAATGGGCTTCACACTTTGCACCCATGTCGGGAATCGAACCCGGGTCTTCGGCGTGACGAGCGAACGCTTTATCCACTAGGCTACCCGACCGCCCAGGAACCTGTGATGACACCAGGTGTTCACGACAAGGGTAAGCACGTCTGCCCTACCGGAAACACTGCCACCCACACGCTTTCCATAAAAAAGTAAGTGTTTGTTTGTTTCCTGACGCCTCGCAGCAGTACACCCACCATGCGACGGCGGCCTGTAAACAAACCAGACAATCAAGTGATCGACCACAAGCTCCAGTGACACGGTAGCGCATTTACTGATTTTGGGGGTCCTGTGTTACCCTTTTACCTTGATATTTTACTTATGTCACATTATTTACCATGAATATTTGTTTTTTAAAGCTAAAACAGATAAATACTTAATCACTTACTAGCAGAATCGATCAGTCAACATTACCAATCTATGTATGAAATTATCAGTCAATTTAAATTTGTAAAGTGGCTGGGTGAATTAAGCAATTTGCAAATTTGACTTTATATAAATTGACTTTACATACAGACAATTTAATGGCCCCAATTGCTTTCCGTATTATTGGTTCTCCTGCCAGGGCAGATTTAGTCGCCTCCCGCGGCGAGCTCTCTGTCATCAAGCACCGGTGAGTAATTTATTCCCTATCATCCCACTTTGACCACAATGACAGATGAGACAATATTAAGTACTATCAACACATTAGGATAAATGTCACACTCATTGCATTGTCACAACTCGACCGGTGATGGCGGGCTGGGTGCAATCACCATTGCGGAGTATTATAATGGCGACCGGAAGTAGCGTACCCGGGACCCGGATCTTGCTGAACTGTTTATAATTTTGAGATTGTATAAGCTGAAAGCTTTAATCACCTGAACACAAACATTGCATTTATGAGACTAAACCACCCGTACAAAGTGTACTGGTAAACACAACGTTTAATGGTAGTGAGTGAGTTGGGTTTAACAGTATTCCAGTTATATCGCGGCGTGTCAGCTTAATGGGGGAGGAAAGCCCGAAGTGATGGAGGTCTCAGACGTTTACCACTTCGGTGAAACCCACGAGCACGGGTATGGTACTGACAAACCTAGAAACATATTTGGGGCGAACCGGGATTCGAACCCTCAAACATGGGTTTCTTGCGCGCCCAAGGGACGCAACTCTGCACAGCGAATCGCGGCACCGTAGACGACTGGGCCACCCGTGCCCCGTTTTATGGAAGACATGTGGAGGACATTTCCAAAACATGACGCATCAGTGACAAAACTGATGGCCGAAGCAATTCCCTATTTTGAGTGTTTTGTAGGTGAATAATTGATTTGCCTTTGCATGTGTTTGTGACGAGTGCCACTGGTGGGGCAGGATATGCTCACCTTTTCACGAACAGATGGTATCATCACTCTTTGATAGTGTTTCACAAACAGACGCTTATGATATAGTCGTAATCGTACAATTGACTACGCTTTTAGCAGAGATTTCTTAAGGTTATGAAAAGTGTATTGTCGCTTATATTTTGTCCATTGCGTAGCGTGGTTGTCATGGCCCAAATCCGATTATTTACAGGCCGCCAGGGCACAGCTGGAATATATTGCGTGCTTATTGCGGCGTAAACCAACATTCTCTCAGTCGGCCTGTAACTGTATCCAACTGTTCCCATGAACGGCCTGCAGGTAGATCGCTGCACACAGGAATGTGTACGATGCACTGTTGAAAGACTCACCAGGCCTGTAATATACTTAACACACGTTTAGAAAAAGGAGAACGCATTATGCATTGGATGACACACTTACAGTCTGCACGTCAGTCCCGCCGGATGTAATCTCCGAAAACTCGCACACCATAATGCAGATAGTTTGCATATTTGACAGTTGGAAAACATCGGCATTTTTCGGCACGTCGGCGTCGTTACCAAGGATTGCAATACTACGGGATCAACCGATCAGTTCTGAATGCTCATCTCGGCAGCCTGCATTTGGCATGACATTACGGTGAACTATCCAGTCCTGACCTTTGACCTACTTGATGGAAATGGGAATCGAGGAAGATGTCAAAGTGCACTCCGCCAGTGAACAGCCTCGCGATGTGGAGAGGGATGGCCATTCTACCCCACGTGAGTACAACACGTAGACAGCGCCGCACACAAGTGTGCAAGCATGAATGATAGAACTATCCACGTTTAAGTCACGTTGAACACCTATTACGTGTCTTTTTAACTAATTATTACACTAGTTTCTCTCGTGTACAGCTGACGTGAACCAAACATGTTCGAGGTCTGCATGTTCGTACATATACAATCTTTAATGGCATGGGCGCTACCAAACAGCCACGGTATTTTGTGCCAATCACATCCGTCGACAGCTATTTTGTTGAAAAGAAAAGTTAGATAATAGTCCTCCCGCCTCAGAGCTGTGGAGTAAACCGTATATCGTAATATGGGAAGACATGACTATATATGTCATCCCGTGGCGGTATTCACAAAGCTTCTTAAAATTTTCTTAAGCCTTAACAATTCTTAAATCCCCAAAGAAATCTCAGTTTCCCAAACAACCAACTTAATTTTTTAACCTTTAGGTAATTTCTTTAAATCATATTCACATAGCTTCTTAGTGACTAAATTCTTTGTTTAAGTTTAGGTAGCTCATGATCGTAATTTAGTCCTTGTTAATGTTAGTCTAACTTCGCCCCAAGTGGCCAGGAAAGTAAATATTGCTAATAGCTGCGTAAGCCATACGAAATATTTCTGTTTAATAAATTATACCCACGTTCCATTCCTCACTACTATACAATATGTCAGGCCCAATTTCCGTGTCAACTGAATGTGGTAGGGGAATATCCCAACGGGAAGCAAGTCGTTAACCGCTCTCATAATTGGTGCGTACTTCGGATTCGAATGGAAGACCATCGGATCCTGGCACGTTGAAGGGACACAACTCATATATGATTGTTGTGCACAGGACTGTTTGGACACCCATAGTCTCTGTTAGAGACTTTATGTAATGCATGTCAATTTTGTTATAAAAGAAATGTGCTCTTTAAATACACAAGGCAGTATTATATATCTCTAAACAAACAAATCTATTCCCTTCCCAGTTTCATCTTCCTGGGGCAAGGGATTTAACTGACTATAAAGGTCCAGTTTCCAACCTTGCCGAGCTAGGCTGGAATTATGGAGTTATCTTTTAACTGGACTAACGAGTCTATGCATAGTCCAATCAAAATCGCGTAACGGAATCGACATCCGGTTCGTCAACTGCCGTGCAGATTTTGGTCGATTGGAGGATTTGTAAAACATGTGTAGCATAAACATGCCGTCAACTGAAATTTTCCAAATGTTTTCATGATTTTAATCAAGGTGATTTGATGCACTTCGCAAAGTTTTATTAAGACCCGTTTTATTAAAATATAGATCGTGATTATCGATCAGATCCTCTTCACTTGGCGCCTCCATTTTTGTAAACACATGCAAGTGATATGAGAGGTGGAATCTGATTGGTCAATAAGAGGGACATAGAAGGGACCTAACTCGTAATAGCCACTGGTAGCGCTACGATCGAGCCCTGAAATTCCAGCCTAGTTCGGCAAGGGTGGAAACTGGACTTTAACAGTCAGTTAACGCCCTTGCCTCGGGAAGATGAGCCAGTATAAGAGGAACAAAGTTTGCCTCAGAAAAATATCCTTGTATTCCCTTGAAAAATCTATAATCTGGTCAAAATGGACCTGGTGTCTAATGGACTGTGACAGTCGCCAGAGCTGAGGCAGGGTATGTTAGATAACCTGATTTTCTGCGATTTTATAGGAATTGTGTACACTGGGTCAGTTGTGTGCGACTAACGCTTAGTCTCTGTTGACAGAAACAAACAATTCCATTTAAATTGAAAAGGAGCCCCAGTGTAATTGTAGACTGAGAACCTGAAATTGTGGAAAATCTAGACTTGCTAAGGGTTGGGGAAAGGGAAATACTATTACCGTGAGGCCCAACAGGTGGGTCCCGACATGTTCTATATGTCTCTTGGCTTTCCAGGTCACCGTCGTCATCGTCGCATGGCTCAGCGTCGGCGTCATTTCTGCCGTACACGGTAAGTAGCAAGCTAATCATTTGAAATCTCTGCAGAAAGCAGAGTCCAGTGTACAAGTCCAACTAAATCATGAGGATGTGTTTATGAATCACTATCAAATAGTGATGATATCAGGTGTGAGCTTATCCTCCGGTGGCACCGGTCACAAACACATGCAATGGCAAGTCAATTGTTCACCCGAAAAATAACGGGGACATACCGGGTTAGAATTGGTCCCCAGCAACCTGTGCTGGTCGACCAAATGAATCGGGTGGTCAGGCTCGTGACTTGGTTGATAGCGTATCATCTTACTCCGACGGTGTTGATTGTTGCTCATAATATCAATCACTGGATTGTCTGATTATTTACTCGATTATTTACAGGTTGCCGTCATATGGCTTGAGTATGCTTTAAAGAACAAGCAAACAAACAATTCTTAATTGAGGATACTCTAGCATATATACATTTATAAAATGCATTATTATTATTAGTAGTAGTATGAGTATTAGTAGTAGTTGTAGTAGTATTAGAAGAAGTAATAGTAGTGGTAGTAGCAGTGTCGTTGTTGTAAGTAATATAGTTATCATCATTAGTATTAGAAGTAGTAGTAGTTTGTTTGTTTGTTTGTTGTTTAACGTCGCACTCAGCAATATTCCAGCTATGTGACGGCGGTCTGTAAATAATCAAGCATAATCGACTTCACGGCAAGCTTGATTCACTGAAGACCTATTCCAACCCGGATATTCACGGGTGTGATAACGGTGTTAGAACCTACACCGAAACGTCGCTCTTAATTGTAATAAAGAAGTTGTTCATCCATAAATTCTTATCCTTACGTAGTAGCAGCAGCAGCAGCAGCAGTAGTAGTAGTAGTAGTAGTAGTAGTAGTAGTAGTAGTAGTAGTAGTAGTAGTAGTAGTATCATTATTATTATTATTATCATTATTATTATTATTATTATTATTATTTCTTTCAAGGATCTGAAGATGGCCCCTTGGTCGGATTGAAGCAAGGCAAGTACCGGGGCAACTATGTGACGTCGACGAAAGGCGAGTATGTGGCCGAATACCTGGGAATCCCCTACGCCAAGCCACCGACCGGAGACCTGCGACTGGCCAACCCTCAACCCCTCACTCCACACCCAGGTAAGTGATGTAGCATACACCAGACCAACCCCTCACTCCACGCCCAGGTGAGTGATACACCATACACCAGACCAACCCCTCACGCCACACCCAGGTGAGTGATATACCATACACCAGACCAACCCCTCACTCCACACCCAGGTGAGTGATATACCATACACCAGACCAACCCCTCACTCCACACCCAGGTAAGTGATATACCATACACCAGACCGACCCCTCACTCCACACCCAGGTGAGTGATATACCATACACCAGACCGACCCCTCACTCCACACCCAGGTGAGTGATACACCATACACCAGACCAACCCCTCACTCCACACCCAGGTGAGTGATACACCATACACCAGACCGACCCCTCACTCCACACCCAGGTGAGTGATACACCATACACCAGACCAACCCCTCACTCCACACCCAGGTGAGTGATACACCATACACCAGACCAACCCCTCACTCCACACCCAGGTGAGTGATGTAGCATACACCAGACCAACCCCTCACTCCACACCCAGGTGAGTGATACACCATACACCAGACCAACCCCTCACGCCACACCCAGGTGAGTGATATACCATACACCAGACCAACCCCTCACTCCACACCCAGGTGAGTGATGTAGCATACACCAGACCAACCCCTCACTCCACACCCAGGTGAGTGATACACCATACACCAGACCAACCCCTCACTCCACACCCAGGTGAGTGATATACCATACACCAGACCAACCCCTCACTCCACACCCAGGTGAGTGATATACCATACACCAGACCAACCCCTCACTCCACACCCAGGTGAGTGATATACCATACACCAGACCAACCCCTCACTCCACACCCAGGTAAGTGATGTAGCATACACCAGACCAACCCCTCACTCCACACCCAGGTGAGTGGTGTAGCATACACCAGACCGACCCCTCACTCCACACCCAGGTGAGTGATACACCATACACCAGACCGACCCCTCACTCCACACCCAGGTGAGTGATACACCATACACCAGACCAACCCCTCACTCCACACCCAGGTGAGTGATACACCATACACCAGACCAACCCCTCACTCCACACCCAGGTGAGTGATATACCATACACCAGACCAACCCCTCACTCCACACCCAGGTGAGTGATATACCATACACCAGACCAACCCCTCACTCCACACCCAGGTGAGTGATATACCATACACCAGACCAACCCCTCACTCCACACCCAGGTAAGTGATGTAGCATACACCAGACCAACCCCTCACTCCACACCCAGGTGAGTGATATACCATACACCAGACCGACCCCTCACTCCACACCCAGGTGAGTGATACACCATACACCAGACCGACCCCTCACTCCACACCCAGGTGAGTGATACACCATACACCAGACCAACCCCTCACTCCACACCCAGGTGAGTGATACACCATACACCAGACCAACCCCTCACTCCACACCCAGGTGAGTGATATACCATACACCAGACCAACCCCTCACTCCACACCCAGGTAAGTGATGTAGCATACACCAGACCAACCCCTCACTCCACACCCAGGTGAGTGATACACCATACACCAGACCAACCCCTCACTCCACACCCAGGTGAGTGATATACCATACACTAAGCCAGGGGTTGTTATGGCGCTTACTACACAGTGGTGCACTCCACACCCAGGTGAGTGATATACCATACACTAAGCCAGGGGTTGTTATGGCGCTTACTACATAGTGGTGCACTCCACACCCAGGTGAGTGATATACCATACACTAAGCCAGGGGTTGTTGTGGCGCTTACTACATAGTGGTGCACTCCACACCCAGGTGAGTGATACACCATACACTAAGCCAGGGGTTGTTATGGCGCTTACTACATAGTGGTGCACTCCACACCCAGGTGAGTGATACACCATACACTAAGCCAGGGGTTGTTATGGCGCTTACTACATAGTGGTGCACTCCACACCCAGGTGAGTGATATACCATACACTAAGCCAGGGGTTGTTATGGCGCTTACTACATAGTGGTGCACTCCACACCCAGGTGAGTGATACACCATACACTAAGCCAGGGGTTGTTATGGCGCTTACTACATAATGGTGCACTCCACAACCAGGTAAGTGATGCACCATACACTAAGCCAGGGGTCGTTATTGGGCTAACTACATAATGGCCGGCTGGTGGGCTGGCGTAGTGATACTGCCAGTCTGTCATACAGACCTTGAAACAAATATATCCAATACAGCCAATGCAAGTCTATAATGTTTGGCAAGTCTAGATTACTGCAGTATATGAAAATGAAGAAAGTCTCTTGGCTCCTTTTCATTATATTTTATAACTATAATTTAACAACTGTTTTTGTAAAATATGTTCATTTCAGAGACTAGATGTTAGTCTATGATACTGCACATATTCACTAACTTGCTTAGCCGTGTAAAGCAATCTAGCAGCCCATTCTAAAATTCTGTCCAAGTCATTTTTTGAGATTACCAGCAGCTATATCCGCATCTCCTTTGATCCCATACAGAGATGCATCATCAAACAAAAGTCTAATAGTACTTATCCTTCTTCAACGATATTTTGATATAAACAATAAACAATAATGGTCCCAAGACCTAGCCCTGTGGTACACCTGCCAAGACTTAATGAAGATCTGAGCTGTAAAAGCTTTGTGGCTTGTGAGTTACTTGTGTAGTGTCGTGTTATATAACAGGTAACTCTGTATGTCACGTGACTCACAACTAGTTAAGTTAGTCACTGGGATCAGCGTGGGGTTGGCGTGAAAGGTTTATTTCCGGTCCGACCTTGTATTGTTTTGACCTTTCCAACAGTCACGCTGGGTACAATACGTCATTGTGATCAATCGGCATTGTTCCGGATACCGAACGCTTGTTTGATGTTCCTAATGTGACAGGGAGACACGGGTGGCCAAGTGGCCTTAATTTGCTTTGTAGAGTTGGGTCCCTATAGCGTGTCATGATTCGGCGATCTTTGGTTCGAATCCCAGATTCACCACAATTATGACTCTGAGCTTGCCCTTTCTTGTTTTCTTCACGAAGTCATTTAACTGACACGCCCTGATATAACTAAAATACTGTTCAAAGCTGACATGCCCTGATATAACTGAAATACTGTTCAAAGCTAACACGCCCTGATATAACAGAATGTTCAAAGCTGACACGCCCTGATATAACTGAATGTTCAAAGCTGACACGCCCTGATATAACTGAAATACTGTTCAAAGCTGAAATGCTCTGATATAACTGAAATACTGTTCAAAGCTGACATGCCCTGATGTAACTAAAATACTGTTCAAAGCTGACATGCCCTGATATAACTAAAATACTGTTCAAAGCTAACACGCCCTGATATAACTGAAATACTGTTGAAAGCTGACACGCCCTGATATAACAGAATGTCCAAAGCTGACACGCCCTGATATAACTGAAATACTGTTCAAAGCTGAAATGCCCTGATATAACTGAAAAACTGTTCAAAGCTGACATGCCCTGATGTAACTAAAATACTGTTTAAAGCTGACATGTCCTGATATAACTAAAATACTGCTCAAAGCTGACATGCCCTGATATAACTGAAATACTGTTCAAAGCTGACAAGTCCTGATGTAACTGAAATACTGTTCAAAGCTGACATGCCCTGATATAACTGAAATAATGTTCAAAGCTGACATGCCCTGATATAACTGAAATACTGTTAAAAGCTGACATGCCCTGATATAACTAAAATACCGTTCAAAGCTGACAAGTCCTGATGTAACTGAAATACTGTTCAAAGCTGACATGCCCTGATATAACTAAAATACTCTTCAAAGCTGAAATGTCCCGATATAACTAAAATACTCTTCAAAGCTGACATGCCCTGATATAATTAAAATACTGTTCAAAGCTGACAAGTCCTGATGTAACTGAAATACTGTTCAAAGCTGACATGCCCTGATATAACTGAAATACTGTTAAAAGCTGACATGCCCTGATATAACTAAAATACTCTTCAAAGCTGACAAGTCCTGATGTAACTGAAATACTGTTTAAAGCTGAAATGCCCTGATATAACTAAAATACTCTTCAAAGCTGACATGTCCTGATATAACTAAAATACTGTTCAAAGCTGACATGTCCTGATATAACTAAAATACTCTTCAAAGCTGACATGTCCTGATATAACTAAAATACTCTTCAAAGCTGACATGTCCTGATATAACTAAAATACTGTTCAAAGCTGACAAGTCCTGATGTAACTGAAATACGGTTCAAAGCTGACATGCCCTAATATAACTAAAATACTGTTCAAAGCTGACATGCCCTGATATAACTAAAATACTGTTCAAAGCTGACAACTCCTGATGTAACTGAAATACTGTTCAAAGCTGACATGCCCTATTATAACTAAAATACTGTTCAAAGCTGACAAGTCCTGATGTAACTGAAATACTGTTTAAAGCTGAAATGCCCTGATATAACTAAAATACTCTTCAAAGCTGACATGTCCTGATATAACTAAAATACTGTTCAAAGCTGACATGTCCTGATATAACTAAAATACTCTTCAAAGCTGACATGTCCTGATATAACTAAAATACGGTTCAAAGCTGACATGCCCTATTATAACTAAAATACTGTTCAAAGCTGACAAGTCCTGATGTAACTGAAATACGGTTCAAAGCTGACATGCCCTAATATAACTAAAATACTGTTCAAAGCTGACATGCCCTGATATAACTAAAATACTCTTCAAAGCTGACAAGTCCTGATGTAACTGAAATACTGTTTAAAGCTGAAATGCCCTGATATAACTGAAATACTCTTCAAAGCTGACAAGTCCTGATGTAACTGAAATACGGTTCAAAGCTGACATGCCCTAATATAACTTAAATACTCTTCAAAGCTGACAAGTCCTGATGTAACTGAAATACTCTTCAAAGCTGACATGTCCTGATATAACTGAAATACTGTTCAAAGCTGACAAGTCCTGATGTAACTGAAATACGGTTCAAAGCTGACATGCCCTAATATAACTAAAATACTGTTCAAAGCTGACATGCCCTGATGTAACTGAAATACTCTTCAAAGCTGACATGTCCTGATATAACTGAAATACTGTTCAAAGCTGACAAGTCCTGATGTAACTGAAATACGGTTCAAAGCTGACATGCCCTAATATAACTAAAATACTGTTCAAAGCTGACAAGTCCTGATGTAACTGAAATACGGTTCAAAGCTGACATGCCCTAATATAACTAAAATACTGTTCAAAGCTGACATGCCCTGATGTAACTGAAATACTCTTCAAAGCTGACACGCCCTGATATAACTAAAATACTCTTCAAAGCTGACATGTCCTGATAAAACTAAAATACTGTTCAAAGCTGACATGCCCTGATATAACTAAAATACTCTTCAAAGCTGACATGTCCAGATAAAACTAAAATACTGTTCAAAGCTGACATGCCCTGATATAACTACAATACTGTTCAAAGCTGACATGCCCTGATATAACTAAAATACTGTTCAAAGCTGACACGCCCTGATATAACTAAAATACTGTTCAAAGCTGACATGCCCTGAGATAACTGAAATACTATTCAAAGCTGACATGCCCTGATATATCTAAAGTACTGTTCAAAGCTGACATGCCCTGATATAACTAAAATACCGTTTCAAAGCTGACACGCCCTGATATAACTGAAATACTGTTCAAAGCTGACACGCCCTGATATAACTGAAATACTGTTCAAATCGGACACGCCCTGATTTAACTGAAATACTGTTCAAAGCTGACACTCCCGGATATAACCGTCTTCCCGAGGCAAGGGAGTTAACTGACTGTAAAAGTCAATTTTCCACCCTTGCCGAACCTGGCTGGACTTTCTGAGCTCGACCGTAGTGCCATCTGAGGCCATTACGAGTGATGTCCCTCCTATTGACCAATCAGATTCCACATCTCATATTACCATTAAGACGAACTGATCGATAATCAAGATCCTCATTGTAATAAAAATGGGTATTATCTTGTGAAGTGCATCAATTCACTTGAGCACCTTGATTAAAAGCATGAAAAGATTAGGAAAATATCTGTCGACGCCCTGTTGACGGTACACGTGCTCTGCAAATCCTGCAATCGACCATGTTGTTTATGAACCGGGTGTCGATTTGATTGTACTATGCAAAGACTCGTTAGTCCATCCATCATATAACTCCAAAATTCCAGCCTAGTTCGACAAGGGAGGAAACAGGACTTTTATAGTCGGTTTGCACCCTTGCCTCGGGAAGATGTGATATAACAGAAATACTGTTCAAAGCTGACAAGACTGATATAACTGAATCGTTGCAGACAAGCCTGAGGCGATAGTGAATAATTTGACATAACCTTGTTTCAATATTTAAATCCCTGTGTATCCAATTATCGCCCCTTCCATGTAGCAAGTTCTTAAATTTTGTAACGGTCTCTGTCACCGTTAGTTTTTCTGGTAGCATATTCCATCCTTTTGTTTTTGCTGGTTTAAATGAATCTGCATCTGAATTTGTGCTTTACGAAACTGAAGTATGTATAGCTGTTTGATTGGCATTCTAGAAGTCTGTGAGTAATAGAAAACGTACAACTTTATGGATAACGACTTCTTGTTTATTGCATATAGCGACGTTTCGATGTAGATTCTTACACCGCTATGAAGCTGGAGTCGGTGTAACGGTGTAATAATCTACATGGAAACATCGCTAAATGCAATAAACAAGAAGTCGTTATCCATAAAGTTGTTCTTACTTGTATTAGGTATATGCCTCCAAAGATATTCAGGTGGCGCTCTTTGAAAGGGTGTGCTCCATTGTATCTCAAAAGTTGTGAACTGTAGAGTCTGACACTCAAGGCTGGAGCTGCTTGAATACTCCTCGACATGAAGGGAAAGTTGACTATTAAAAAGTTGAAGTCACCCTCTTGTCTTGTGGAGAGCGTTTTGTCACTCTGAATCTTTATGCATAAATCTAATCTACGAAACCGATGAGGCGGTCTCACTGGACTCTTTTATTTTCAGTTCAGTTGGGTAAATCAGTGGAAGGGAATCGGCTGTTTGATCATTATTGAACGATGTCATATCATCGATACACCTGAAGCTTAAGTTAACAGTGGGCTGTTTTGACATCACTTGATGACCTCTGTAATTCTGCCTACAGAGGATTTGTACCGCGCCAAGACGTACGGTGCGGCCTGCCCTCAAGTGATCGACACAGTGTTCGGCAACTTCACGGGCTCGACGATGTGGAACCCCCCGGGTGGGGTGATGAGCGAGGACTGCCTCTATCTCAATGTGTGGGTGCCACAGAAGAACTCGGGCCAGAGCAAGACCGTCATGGTGAGTCCTGGACCCAAACGGCGGTCTTAAGTATTCGAGTCCGGACTGGACAATCCATTGATTGACGTCATGAGGATCTATCCACGAGATGGGATACGATGACATGACATGACATCCAGTTTGACTCATGTAGTCGCCTCTTACAAGCACAGGTGGCACAGTAGTGTATGGTTCCTGGGTTCCATTCCACAGAGCGATCGTAGCGTTACGACAGTCGTAAGTCTATGCTATAGCACGGGTGTAACGGTAAATCTTGCGCCACAATCGCTTTGTGGAGCGGACTTCAGAACTGAACAGAGTTGCACTCATCAGGGATAACAATTTGATGATGATAATTTGGGCGAGGGAAGTACCTTTTCGCAGACACGTTCGTTGGACAAGATGAGCTGAAGGTACTTTGAAAAGAAAGCGTTCGGCCCTCTCTTCAGAGAAAAAAACCTGTCATGGTTTGAAGCAGTGCCAGAAAAACTCCCTTATTACTAATAAATTGAGACCCCCACAATTCATGAAAGTTCACGATTTACAGGGCACGGGTGACCAATTCGACCGAGGCGCCACACTTTGCAGCATATGGTTGCCTCCCTTGAAGTTATGTCAGGATCCGCTGGTCGTTGGTTCACATACCAGACTTGTCCTGATTATGTTTTGGCACTCTATAGTGAGTGAGTGAGTGATCTTGGTTTAACGCCGCTTTAAACTATAAACAGGAGGAAAAATTCTTTAGACATTTACCACTTTGGTGAAACCCAAGAGCACGGGTATGGTGCCGACAAACCTATAAATGTAATCGGGGTGGGCCGGGAGTCGAACCCACAATCATAGGTTTCTGGCGTGCCCAAGGGGCGCAACTCTGCACAGCGACTGGACACCCGCTATGCAATTCAATAACCAGGCGTCACTTTTGACTATTCTCTCATGCACAGTAAATTGACACCCCATACAAAGCGGAGTTAAACATCAAAACGATGTTCCCCTTTTCTCCCAGGTGTGGATCTACGGCGGCGGCTTCTTCAGCGGCACCGCCAGTTTATGGCTCTACAACGGCAAGACAATGGCAGCTTCCAATGACGTCATCGTAGTGTCCTTCAACTACCGCTTGGGGGCGCTGGGCTTCCTGAGTTCCGGTGATGACCGAATCCCAGGTACGAATTAACCAGCTACCAACGCTCTTAGCGGGCTTTCGTATTTCTTTCATTTATTTGTGGAAAGTATAAAGTTCATTTGCCTTTGAGGGTTATTTGAATTTGCAAATTTAAACATTTTAACGGTTTATTTATTGTCATGAAACGTATCGGACATGATCAGATAAGAACTAGCTTTACTCTTTGTTGCTCCAAGTTTGCATGGTTATGTACAGAACATATCCCTACGCGGATTTACACAGTGTGCACGCCAGTTTTAACGTCGATACCTCCATAAAGTTACGTTTCGATTCCCAGATTGCAACAATATCTTAACACAGAAATCTGTACATAAACCACCTTAGTATGAAACCAGCAAACTACCAACAAGTGGTACACAATCAACAAATGTCTTACAAAAAATCACCAAGTTTGCAAATCAGTACAAATGACTGCACAGCAATGACAATGGCAGTACACAATAGAGTGGTAATACAATATCCTATTACATTATGATAATATGATGACAGTAGTCAGTATCAAATACAGAAATTACTGTGGTGTTAGCTGAAGTCAGTGATACACAATATATACTCATCCAGCAGCGACAGTGGTCAAACTTCCGAGATGGAATCGGGGATCATGAGCGATCCTCACATGAAAGCTGGTCCCGATGTGATAAAAATGAGAGATACGTAAACACGCTTCCGTCTCCTTATATACAACCCAGCTAGCCACTGGAAAGTTCCACTCGGTGCCCTCACCAGTCCAGTGGCACCAGAACATTACAGAGGTTTCCATAACATGCTATCACCATCCGCGGTATACCGGACCGGAAGTTTACACATCACACTAGCATCTAAATATAGTAACTTCCTGACGACTGCTTACGTTAAATTGTCCAAGCACAATGCAATGAGCGTCTACCGAATCTCAACAGGAACAATGTAACACGGTTACAATCATTGTTAAAAAATACACTGTCATATAACAATAAGCAAACAATATTGAAGTAAATTCAAGACATGACAGCATCGCACACTCCTCAATATGTTAATGCAAAATAAATAAACTGCAAGTGACTCAAGTCATTGGATTGGCTAACCAAGCAATGCTTTAGCCAATTTGTTAGGCCACGCCCCAAACCTGATTTCAGTCTCCTTATTTGCTGATAACTGAGTGGGCGGGGCTTGATTTGCATTATTGCACGGAGCGATGTCACTGAGTTCGTATCGTCGTCTACAGCCTTTTTGTTAATACTTAAAAAAAGCATTGTGTGATGTTATTATTGTTGACTATAATACCCATATATAGTTAGGCGTTTATGAAGGTATATGCACCCGACACTGTATGCATTCCAGGTTTTACGTTTATACCTCCATAAGCCAACAAACAAACAAACAATTATTACGCCCGTTGTTAGGTGACGTAAGGGATAGGGAAAGGTGACGTCACGTTCACTGGTGACGTCATCTGTTTTGTTCTATGACGTTTCCATATTTGTTAAAGTGGGTCAGTGAAATTCGTGTTGATTGCACTAAATGTTTCAAAACCGATATTTATTTTATTTGATAACAAATTCTATCCATTTTAGCTATGATAACGGTAACGCTATTTTTCAGGGCATTGTCATTTTCAGAAGCCGTCGGGCAGTTAATGGAAGACCTCGGCCTTCTTCAAATGATAATCTCCTGAAAAATAGCGTTACCCTTATAACATTCTTAAACCTCTTTCCTTATTCAAGGTAATTTCGGTCTGATGGATCAGGTGCTTGCTCTGAAATGGATAAAAGACAACATCAAGACGTTCGGGGGCGACCCAAACCAGGTGACCCTAGTTGGGGAGAGTGCGGGTGCGGTCAGTGTCACCTACCATCTCCTGTCACCCCTGAGTAGTGGACTATTCCAGCGGGCTATTATACAGAGCCACGCTGGTGACGCTCTTGTATTCAATGATCGAGAACTAGCTCGAGGCAGTGCGGTTACATTTTTCGATAGATTAAAATGCAAAGACAATGCTGAAATATTAGAATGTTTGCGAAAAGAACGCTTTGACACTTTCGTAAAAGAGCAATGGATGCCAGGTGGTATTTGCCCTCATAAACCCACAATATCACCTTTCATGCCACAACTACCGGAAGTTCTCCTTCGTGAACGAGGCTTCAAAAAGAAGGCTGTGTTGATCGGCTCAAACAAAAACGAAGCGACCTATTTCATGATTTACCGTCTGAAATCTGTATCCATTAATGATCCTGTTAGCGGACAAACACAACAGAACATAAAAGAAGCCATTAGGCTTTTCAATCCCGATTTGGACGAGGCTCAATGTGAGCGCGTCTTCAACTACTACACAGACAACATCGACGAATACGACCTCGTCGGCAACCGTAACGCCATCGATGCCCTGATGGGTGATCGCTACTTCACCTGCCCTGCTGTAAACGTGGCGGAAAGCAACGTCGCTGTTGGTGGCGAGACCTTCTACTACTACTACAACCACCGTGCGTCTAACGAAGTATGGCCTGCCTGGATGGGAGTGATGCATGCTGCTGAGATTCAGGTGAGCAGGTCAATTTCTTTTTCCCCAGAACAGTCTGAAGTATAATTATTTTGGGGAAGCATTTTCGGGGACAATCTATTTTTCTCGATATACCCCACCTCCGAATACACGAATGTCAGGGACTGACTTTTTGATATTCGTGGGACAGCGGTCAATTTCTTTTTTCCCCAACAGTCTGAAGCATAATTATTTTTTTCAAGCATTTTCGGGGAAAATCTATTTTTCTCGATAATCCCTACCCCCGAATATACGAATGTCAGGGACCAACCTTTTGAAATTCGTGGGACAGCCGTCAATTTCATTTTCCCCCAACAGTCTGAAGCATAATTATTTTTTTCAAGCATTTTCGTTGAAAAGCTTATTTTTTTATAACCCCAACACCCGAATATCTGATATGCCTTTGACGTTTAGAAGCTACAGCGGAGATAAGAAATTCTAACGCGAGTGTTTTTGGAATGGTAAATATCCTGTATAAGGAACGGACATTGTATTTAGAGTGCATTGGCGAGCGAAATACATATTGTTATTCCATAATGGAGAAATCAAGAGGCACGTGTTGATTGCGGAATTAACAATAGACAGCTGCCATTTTGAATTAAGACTAAACATTCATTCAGCTACATCTGCAAAACCAGATGGGCCCACTTGCACAAAGCGATCTTAGCGCTAAGATGATCGTAACTCCCATACTTTAACATAGGCTTACGATAGTCTTAGCGCTAAGGTCGCTTTGTGCAAGTGGGCCCTGATATTTTTTTCCAGGTGAAACCAAAAGGCTAAATATATTTGTTGAAAACCTTGCAACGATGTATTTTGGAGTTTATATTTTCTTTATCTGAACAGTCTGAAGCATTATTCATTTTTATGTTGTATTATTTCGGTATTTGGTATCGGAAAATCGTCTCCACAAAGTATATGCTACGATGCAAAGGCAAGCCTTTTGGACGCAAAGAGCATACCTATGAAAATCCATGTTTAACATTGTTTGGTCAGTAAAGAATAAGCGATAGTTTGGTCGATGGTGAAACGGAATAAATACTGGAACCATTAGGCAGAGGCATCCTTGTTCTTACAGCTGGTTACATTTTGTTAACTCTGTACCATGACTGTGTTGGCTGTATTTGGAGTTTTTCTGTTTCCGACAGTTTGTATTTGGAGTGCCGTTGAACAACACCCTGGGATACACAGCTGAGGAGAAGAGATTCTCCCAGAGAATGATGTCCTACTGGACCAACTTTGCCAAGTCAGGGTAGGTATATCAGCTTTCAGGGTAGGTATATCAGCTTTCAGGGTAGGTATATCAGCTTTCAGGGTAGGTATATAATTGGACATTTATATTGTGCATATTTTCACACCACACACAGGCATGCTCAAATCGCTATTAGTATCCCAGTCAATAGATCAGTGTGCACTCAACAATCATTATCAGCTCCCTAGGGAGTATCCAACCAAAGCTGCCTGTGAGGCGCAAGAAGAACAACCCCCTTGCCATCTCATCCTGTATCAGCTTATTGGAAGGGATATCAGCGTTCTACGTAGGTATATCAGATTTCAATTTATGTACCAGGTCTATGAGTGTTTAGGGAGGTATGTAACCATAGCAAGTTATATCAGCATTCAGGGTAGGTATATCAGTGTTCGGGCTAGGTATATCAACGTCGAGGGTATGTATCAGCAATTGGTGTAGGTATATCAGCTTTCAGTGTAGGTATATCAGCTTTCAGGGTAGAATCTCAAAGTTCAATTTATGTAGGAATATCAGTGTTCAGTGTAGGTATATCAGCTTTCAGGGTAGGTATATCAGTGTTTGGGGAGGATATATCAGTGTTTGGGGAGGATATATCAGCGTTTGGGGTAGGATTATAAGTGTTCAGGGAAGGTTTATCGATATTCAGGGTAGGTATGAAAATATGCAGGGTAGGTATATCAGTATTCGGGGTAGGTGTGTCAGTGTTTCGCAGTAGGTATAACAATATTCAGGGTAGGTACCTTGGTATTCGGGGTAGGTGTATCAGTGTTCACAGTAGGTATAACAATATTCAGGGTAGGTACCTCGGTCTTCGGGGTAGGTGTATCAGTGTTCGCAGTAGGTATAACAATATTCAGGGTAGGTACCTTGGTATTCGGGGTAGGTGTATCAGTGTTCGCAGTAGGTATAACAATATTCAGGGTAGGTATCTTGGTCTTCGGGGTAGGTGTATCAGTGTTCGCAGTAGGTATAACAATATTCGGGGTAGGTATCTTTGTATTCGGGGTAGGTGTATCAGTGTTCGCAGTAGGTATAACAATATTCAGGGTAGGTATCTTGGTCTTCGGGGTAGGTGTATCAGTCTTTGCAGTAGTTATAACAATATTCAGGGTAGGTACCTTGGTCTTCGGGGTAGGTGAATCAGCGTTCACAGTAGGTATAAGAATATTCAGGGTAGGTACCTTGGTATTCTGGGTAGGTGTATCAGTGTTCGCAGTAGGTATAACAATATTCGGGGTAGGTATCTTTGTATTCGGGGTAGGTGTATCAGTGTTCGCAGTAGGTATAAGAATATTCAGGGTAGGTACCGTGGTATTCAGTGTAGGTGTGTCAGTGTTCGCAGTAGGTATAACAATATTCGGGGTAGGTACCTTGGTATTCGGGGTAGGTGAATTTGTGTTCGCAGTAGGTATAACAATATTCAGGGTAGGTACCTTGGTATTCGGTGGAGGTGTATCAGTGTTCACAGTAGGTATAACAATACTCAGGGTAGGTACCTTGGTATTCGGGGTAGGTGAATCAGTGTTCACAGTAGGTATAAGAATATTCAGGGTAGGTACCTTGGTATTCGGGGTAGGTGTATCAGTGTTCGCAGTAGGTATAACAGTATTCAGGATAGTAATCGCGATATTCGTGGTAGGTGTAACAATGTTCAGGGTAAGTACGTCGGTATTAGGGATAGGGGCGTCATCGTTCGGGTTAGGTTTATCAGTGATCGGATTGTCAGAAATGTAATCTATAATTTTTTCCGTGACCTGTGTCGTTCCAGAAACCCAAACGGTCACGGTAACAGCCCCTGGCCAAAGTATACGTCCAGCAAGAGAGAGTTCCTGGAACTAGTTCTGCGAGAGAAGAAGCATGACGGAGGTCACAGGTCTGAGCAGTGCCGGTTCTGGAGCAGCTTGCTCAACTCGAGCAACAGAAGCCATGTCAGCATCACCAATGTCGCAGTGCTAGTGGTAGTCGCCATCTTCGGGGTGACGCTGTAGGGTTGTCACGTGGTGTAACCTGTCACGTGGTGCAGGGTTATCACGTGATGTACACCTATCACATGGTGTAGGGTTATCACGTGGGGTGCAGGCTAAAAAGGCACCTCAGCAAAACGTCACTGATTTATATGTTTTCCTTGGACGGGGACACGGTCTGTTATCCGCAGAAACATTATTGTAATGTCCGCTGCCGGCAGAAAAGGGGGATATATATGAAATATCTATAAAATTAATATTTATCATCAAAAACTGGTTTTGGATGATAAATTGGAATAGAGGCTAATGTTCTAATGTTAACTTGTTGTAACATTTCACAATTTCTTGTTTTTGCAAGTTACCATGTGAGTTTAATTTCATGTATTTCGGTGACAAGTTTAAAAAAAATAAGGTGCAGTTTTCGCCAGGCAACAGTAGCCGTTTTCGCTTGAGGCGTGGTGACGTTTTCGCCAATCGAAGCCGTATTCGCTCAGTGAGGTTTTGCCGAGGTGCCGTTTTAGCTATAACCAATCACGTGATATTCACCTGTCACGTGGTGTGGGGTTATCACGTGATGTACACCTATCACGTGGTGTAGGGTTATCACGTGACGAACATGTCATGGCATGCAAGTTTGGCCGTACTTCGTTCGCGAGCATGTTCATATCCACAGCATGACGACTTGTCAAGAAGAAGAAAATGGCGGCCTTGCGACGGATCATTGTCACAGATTACGTTTTCCTCATGCATCAGCCCTACGCACTAAAACATTGAGAACAACATTTAGGGATGCATTATATCTATAGCATAATCTCGTTCAAATCAGATATTTTACTGGACATATAGCTCTCTGGATGAAGACATGAGGACCTCCCCATAAAAGGTCGCGTCAGGTGAACCCTCATCGAACTTTGACCTCCCAATCTAAATTAAGTATGTGTCGGTTCCTGAGCCAATCAGATGTCAGCTTTCAAAAATGATTCGATTTCACTTCCTGACTTATTCGGAAAATTCGATTCTTGCAAGAAAACCCTCGATGGTGAACCTCATTTTAATGAGATCCACATTGTAGCGGCTATTGGAATCATATTTCTTGTATTTTGATATGATTTGTGTAATCATCTTTCAGCATGAATGTTATGACACACAGTAAGCACCAATGGCGAAGCTCGACATAGTTACGTTTTTGTCTCGCGACAGAGCAAGGACAAGCGGAACATGTTCCTGATACCCTCAACAGCTCGCCAAAATACGGCACTCCCGGAGATGATGAGAGACAATAGACTGACTGATCATGGGTACCTAATTATCAAAGTATGTAGACCTGTAATACAGTAAACTACGTTTATAACGAACACGCTTATAACGAACTGACAGATATAACAACCTTATTTTTTGGGCCGGACATTTGCTGTATATATGCATATAACGAACTGCGGTAATAACGAACTAAAATTAGTGGCCCCTTTGATTTCGTTATAACCGTAGTTTACTGTATTCAAATGTAGGTGCTGAAATCAACACCAATACAAGTACTAGCATATTATACTTTCACACTATTTTTGCACGTTTTTAAATTTCTGTTTTGCGATTTCATATCAAATATGCTCACCCAGTGATTTTAAAAGAATTCAGTTTTGGTTAAAACAAGAGTAATAAATTCAACAGTTCGTCTTTCTTCGCTTCCATATTGACCTTTGAATATTTGTTTTTGCTACTAACATGACCGGAAATTGTATCGTATATTATTGTTGATTTCGGAAATCGTAAACAACTAGTACAAAAACAACTCATGTATGTGCATTGATTGTGTGGTAGAGTGCAGTGCATCCAGTGCCTGACTGTGGGTCTTCATCTTTGGAGAGTTCCAGTAGTGTATGGTAGCAACTAGCTATGTAAGAGACAATCACTTATAGTCCTTTTAGTGGAGAAACACCTTTAGATTTTTTAAAAATATGATGCATAGTTTTGTCTCCAAACAAACCATGTAGCCCGTATTTATTTGTATTTTCATACCTATTTTTTCTTAATAAATATGTCACACGTATTGTTTTCTTCTTTGTGGCCTTAACACCTTATCTATTGCCATGTTGTTCAGAAGTGTGATCTGATGTGGAACAACAATCAAGGGAGATAAATTACGATATGGAGAGTTACGTCCCTTTGTGTTGGGTTTGTTCGATTGAAGAAACTTGTTCAACAGGTCGTTGGTCAAGACGTTCTACCACACCGGTGAACCTGACGGACACGGGTAGTTCTCACAAGCCAAGGATCATAATCAGGGAGAATTGGGGTGCCATCAGCAGATCCTGGTACAACTAGCTCACGGGAGTCGCGTCTCTCTTGAGAGAACTTGGCTACCGATACTCCCACCAAAGTTGCCGAGGTGACCAAAAGTAAACTTTAACGAGTGGCGTCATAACTTATATAACGCGTGTGCTTATACTGAGTGAGTTGGGTTTAACGCCGCTTTTAACAGTATTCCAGTTATATCGCGGCGTGTCAGTTTAATGTGGGATGAAAGCCCACCGGGATTCGAACCCACAATCATAGGTTTCTTGCGTGCCCAAGGGACGCAACTCGCACAGCGAATCGCGGCGCCTTAGACGACTTGGCCACCCGTGCCCCCGCGTGTGCATATACTGGGGCTGGGATGGGTAACTTGGGTACTCGGGTCGGGCGGGTACTGAGAAGGACCCGGGTACCAATAGGACTACCTGGACCCATGGTTAGTCATGTGATATATTGTTTTCCAGGAGTACGGTCAAACTATTCCCAACGTACATGTTGTACCTATCTATTGATACCTACAGCGGGTACCCGGGTGGGGTCGGGTGATAGGAGGGTGGATACCAGGGTAGTAAATTTGGACTCGTCCCAGTCCTAGCTTGTACTGACCAGAACAGAACAGGAAAACATTTTTGTTTGTCTTAGACCAGTCCGTGGACCCACGTCACAATATTACATGATTTTTCAATCAGATATCTGGTTTGAACATAGTCCTTTCTTAATTTGAGAACGAACCACACGACTTATTGATTTTACATGTGTCGGTATGTCCTTGCGACGGGTGAGGTGGTGGTTGTGAAATGTGGTTTAACGTCGCGTCCAAGATTATTAGCGACGTGCATGCACGTGCATGTGTGTGTGTGTGGCTGTTTGTACTAGTCCTGACTGATGTCGATTTATAGTGCTAGCTCACTGAGATACCATGCCGCAGTTTAACATGAATACCCCACTCAGACAAAGTATACTGACTCCGAGCCGACCAGTCCTTGTCCTTAATGCCGAGCGCCAGACAGGGTAACAACAAGTACCATCTTTTAACGTCATTTGGTATGACGTGGCTGGGAATCGAACACCGGACCTTCTTGGAATCAACACTATTTGATCGTGATTTATGAACACATGCTTACGATACAGTCGGAATCGTACAATGGACCCTGTTTTTAGCAGAGATTTCTTTTGATTACAGAAAGGGCTTTGTCGTCTATATTTTGGCGAATTATGTAGCCGCTAGTAGAACGCTGCTCAGACAGTCGCTGATTTTCATGGTCCAAATCCGATTATTTACAGGCCCCCTGGGCAAAACTGGAATATATTGCGTGCTTATATGCGGAGTAAACCAAAAGTCTGTCAGTCGTCCTGTAACTGTATCCAACCGTTCCCATGAACGGCCTGCAGGTAGATCGCTGCACACAGGAATGTATACGATGCACTGTTGAAAGACTCACCAGGCCTGTAAAATACTTAACACACGTTTAGAGAAAGGAGAACGATCTATGCATTGGATGACACACTTACAGTCTGCACGTCAGTCCCGCCGGATATAATCTCCGAAAACTCGCACAGCAAAGCTTGCATATTTGTCAAATGAAAAACATCGGTATTATCCGGCACGTCGGCGTCGTTACCAAGGATTGCAATACCACGGAATCAACCGATCGGTTCTGAGTGTTCATCTCGGCAGCCTGCATTTGGCATGACATTATGGTGAACTATCCAGTGCTGACCTTTGACCTACTTGATGGAAATGGGAATCGAGGAAGATGTCAAAGTGCACTCCGCCAGTGAACAGCCTCGCGAAGTGGAGAGGGATGGCCATTCTACCCCACGTGAGTACAACACGTAGACAGCGCCGCACACAAGTGTGCAAGCATGAATGATAGAACTATCTTCGTTTAAGTCATGTTGAACACCTATTACGTGTCTTTTTAACAAATTACACCAGTTTCTCTCGTGTACAGCTGACGTGAACCAAACATGTTGTTATTATTGTTCTAAGTTTGTATGTACTTACATATACACTCTTTAAAAGCAGGGACCCGACCAAACATTCAAAATGTTTCGTGCGACTCAACATCCGTCGTCTGTTAATGTACACGCATGTTTTGTTAATTAAAGTTAGCTAAAATTCCTGCCGCCTCAGAGCCGTGGAATAACAGTATATGGAAAGACATGGACATAAACAACGGCTCGCAGAACGTTAATGATATTTTGAATTCTAGAAAATAAACTTTGCAACAATGTCAGAATGTTCCTCAGTGCTTGTGCAAAGTGATCTGGGAAAGGGTGACTAATCCTTGATGATGCATTTAACAGTATACATAAAATAATATAGTCGGATTTTATTTGGAAAATATATATATATTACCTATTTTATGTCTCTTTTTATCATTTAGACTCAGTTTGAGGAACCAGAGTCGTAGGAATACATCAAATACAATTATCCCTCAGCGATAGCACGGGTCTAATGTACCTTGCAATGCTTCGAAGCCCCTTGAGCTGGCGGAATAAGAACTCACAACTTGTTTCCATTAATATTAAAACTCTGAATATATGGCTACATAAACTATGTTATTTTATTTGATATTATTATTTCGCGGAGTAGATATATCCTTGGCCTCAAAAGAAAATTGAAGAACAACATCATTTCTGCTTGATCACCCTATAATGCTATACTCGTTATAACACGCCGTGAGGGGCACACCAGCGAGTTGGGATAATATGATCCACATGCATCCAGGGGCTGTGGGAGGCGGGGGAGGAGCCGCGTGTGCTGGGGATACAAAATACTCCACAGCAGATCAGTGAAGATACGTGCGTGTGCGGGTTCTCATCGTCTGGGCTTCTGTCTAGTGGTTATATAGGCTGAAGGTCATGCCGCAAGTGCTAATATTGGAACCAGTTCAGGTTTCTCTACAGTAGGAATGACCAGATCAAGTCCAGATTCGGAACGTCTGGAACGGACCCTCTGACGTCTTTACTGCAGGTCGTGTACGGCAGAGTAATACACTGACCAGGATGCCAGGACGCGTTATAATGAGGACAATGCAGTCCCGATGTACGCACGAACCAATTTTCAAAGACAAACATTTATACGGGCCACCGGTAGACTAGAATCTAATCTCTGAAATGAAAATTTACTGCGAAAACTGCTGTTACATTATCTTAATAAAATATAATAAAAAGGAGCCCAGGGACTCTCTCCTGAAACTGCAGTAATCTAGACTTGCTTAATAGTATAGACGTGCAAGGGCTGTATTTTAGTGGATTTGTTTCAGGGTCTGCATGACGGACTAGGCCCCAATCAAAGTGTCATGTTTCACGTTAGGCAACACCTTTTTTATTTTTCGTTTCACGGGCCCGCCGCCCCTACTGAAAAGCAGCTGGAAAAGAACATTATAATATTTATTTGTATTATGTCTCCCGCTAGTAATATAGACCCACTCATTCAGTATAAAATGTTGTATATAAATTCCATGTCTACATCAGTGATTCAAGAAGCCAGCTGCAGTGTTGACTCCAAGGCAGAAGGTGAGGTGAAGGTGAAATTGGGTTTAACGTCGCGTCCAAGATTATTGCACTTATATAGCGACGTGCATGCATGTGTGTGTGTGTGTGTGTGACTGCTTGTACTAGTCCGGACTGATGCCGATTTATAGTGCTAGCTCACTGAGATACCATGCCACAGTTTAACATGATACCCCACTCAGACACAGTATACTGACTTCGAGCCGACCAGTCCTTGTTTTAGTCCCTTAATGCCGAGCGCCAGACAGGGTAACAACATGTACAATCTTTTAACGTCTTTTGGTATGACGCGGCCGGGCGGACGCTCTACCACTAGACCACGGAGGCGGTCCATGACAGAAGGACCATGATATAAATAAATAAACAAATGATTGACATAGCTATTTATTTTTATTTCGACCTACCATGTGTGGAAAAGCTGGAATAAATCCAAGAAACAAATTTAAAAAGTGTGGCCTAAGGCTACGGCAGTATAGTAAGGGAGGTTTTTTTTGTTTGTTTTTTGTTTGTTTTTTGTTTGTTGTTTTTTTGTTGTTTTTTTTTTTAGGGGGGATACTATGGTTCAGGGACAATGAGACAGTCTAGGTAGTTCGCCACATGTTCTGTATGTCTTTTTGCTTTTCAGGTCCCCGTCGTCATCGTCGCATTGCTCAGCATCAGCATCATTTCCGCCGTACATGGTAAGTAGAACGCTTAGATTTGCCACGAAAACCTCTCCACAATCATAAGAAATCTTTGCTAAAAGTCCACTGTACGATTCCGACTATAGCGTGAGGATGTGTTTATGAATCACTAGCAAATAGTGATGATACCAGGTGTTCGCGAAAATGAGAGCTTATCCTGCCCCACCGGTGAATCCGAAGAATCGCGGGGACAAACAAGTCAGTATTGCATCGTACATACTTTTGTTGTCGGGATTCCGGGTTAGAACTGGTCCCCAGCAACCCGTGCTGGTCGAACAAATGAAATGGTGGTCAGGCTCAGTGACTTGGTTGATAACGTGTCAGCGTACTCCGACGGTTTGGATCGTTGCTCACAATATCAATCACTGGATTGTCTGATCCAGACTCGATTATTTACAGGTTGTCGTCATATGGCAAACAAACAATTCTTTATAGAGAATACTCTCTTTTAATGCATTATTATTATTATTAGTAGTAGTAGTAATAGTAGTAGTAGTATTGTAATTATTATAGTTATCATTATCATTCTTATCAGAAGAAGAAGTAGTGTTTGTTTGTTGTTTAACGCTGCACTCAGCAATATTCCAGTTATATAACGGCGGCCTGTAAATAATCGAGTCTGGACCAGACAATCCAGTGATTGACATCATGAGAATCGGTCTACGCAATTGGGATACGATGACATGCATCATCCAAGTCAGCGAGCCTGACTACCCGATCCCGTTAGTCGCCTGTTACGGCAAGCATAGTCGCCTTTTACGGCAAGCATGGGTTGCCGAAGACCTATTCTACCCCGGATCTTCACGAGTGAGTAGTAGTAGTAGTAGTCGTAGTCGTAGTCGTATCATTATTATTTATTCTTTCAAGGATCTGAAGATGGCCCCTTGGTCGGATTGAAGCAAGGCAAGTACCGGGGCAACTATGTGACGTCGACGAAAGGCGAGTACGTGGCCGAATACCTGGGAATCCCCTACGCCAAGCCACCGACCGGAGACCTGCGACTGGCCAACCCCCAACCCCTCACTCAACACCCAGGTGAGTGATGTAGCATACCCCAGACCAACCCCTCACTCCACACCCAGGTGAGTGATACACCATACACCAGACCAACCCCTCACTCCACACCCAGGTGAGTGATATACCATACACCAGACCAACCCCTCTCTCCACACCCAGGTGAGTGATATACCATACACCAGACCAACCCCTCTCTCCACACCCAGGTGAGTGATATACCATACACCAGACCAACCCCTCTCTCCACACCCAGGTGAGTGATGTAGCATACCCCAGACCGACCCCTCACTCCACACCCAGGTGAGTGATACACCATACACCAGACCAACCCCTCTCTCCACACCCAGGTGAGTGGTGTAGCATACCCCAGACCGACCCCTCACTCCACACCCAGGTGAGTGATACACCATACACCAGACCAACCCCTCACTCCACACCCAGGTAAGTGATACACCATACACCAGACCGACCCCTCACTCCACACCCAGGTAAGTGATACACCATACACCAGACCGACCCCTCACTCCACACTCAGGTGAGTGATACACCATACACCAGACCAACCCCTCACTCCACACCCAGGTGAGTGGTACACCATACACCAGACCGACCCCTCACTCCACACCCAGGTGAGTGATACACCATACACCAGACCAACCCCTCACTCCACACCCAGGTGAGTGATACACCATACACCAGACCAACCCCTCACTCCACACCCAGGTGAGTGGTACACCATACACCAGACCGACCCCTCACTCCACGCCCAGGTGAGTGATACACCATACACCAGACCAACCCCTCACTCCACACCCAGGTGAGTGATACACCATACACCAGACCAACCCCTCACTCCACACCCAGGTGAGTGATACACCATACACCAGACCAACCCCTCACTCCACACTCAGGTGAGTGATACACCATACACTAGACCAACCCCTCACTCCACACCCAGGTGAGTGGTACACCATACACCAGACCAACCCCTCACTCCACACCCAGGTGAGTGATACACCATACACCAGACCAACCCCTCACTCCACACCCAGGTGAGTGGTACACCATAAACCAGACCAACCCCTCACTCCACACCCAGGTGAGTGATACACCATACACCAGACCAACCCCTCACTCCACACCCAGGTGAGTGATACACCATACACCAGACCGACCCCTCACTCCACACCCAGGTGAGTGATACACCATACCCCAGACCGACCCCTCACTCCACACCCAGGTGAGTGATGTAGCATACCCCAGACCAACCCCTCACTTCACACCCAGGTGAGTGATACACCATACACCAGACCAACCCCTCACTCCACACCCAGGTGAGTGATACACCATACACCAGACCAACCCCTCACTCCACACCCAGGTGAGTGATACACCATACACCAGACCAACCCCTCTCTCCACACCCAGGTGAGTGATATACCATACACCAGACCAACCCCTCTCTCCACACCCAGGTGAGTGATATACCATACACCAGACCAACCCCTCACTCCACACTCAGGTGAGTGATATACCATACACCAGACCAACCCCTCACTCCACACCCAGGTGAGTGATATACCATACACCAGACCAACCCCTCACTCCACACCCAGGTAAGTGATGTAGCATACACCGCCTCCTTTTCTCAAACGCGTTTTGTGAGTTTGTTCACACTTATCCTGGATTTACAGAAAATACCATTCTTTCAACACAATTCGTCCTAGTTATGTTTCTAGGTTTGTCAGCACCATACCCGTGTTCCTGAGTTTCACCGAAGTGGTAAACGTGGAGACCTGCATCACTTCGGGCTTTCCTCCCACGTTGAGGAATGTGAATGTGGTTATCATCAATCTCATTAAAATCAGTTCTCTCTACCACTAAACAAAGATCTGAGGACATCCCATTACGGGTCACGTCAGACCGACCTTGCGCGAACTTTGACCGACCAATGGAATGACCAATCAGTTTTCTCGTGCTTTACGGCACAAATTTCAAATTGGCGACTACGCTTCGAAATGTATTTTGACAAGTTCTCGATTTAAAATTTGAAACCTGAACAAAAAAACAACATTCTGGAATGGCTAATAGATGGTCTAGATTGTAAGGATTCAGTCGTTAAACCCGTAACTATCGTTCGGAATACACCATGTTAAAGTTTTCGAGATTGCATGATTAGAAATCACATTCCGACTGCCACCTTCATAATCTGTAAAGCGACGCACTGATTGGTCGGGTGAAAGGTCGTTCTGACATGACCCCTAATGGGATGTCTTCAGATCTTTACTTAGCTGTAGCAAGAACTAAGGTCTGATTTTAATGAGATTTTCATGTAAAAAGTACACAAATATAAGAACGAATATGTATTATTACACCCATGGATATTACCTGAAAACGGTTTTATATGGCAGCCCTCGTTTATTGACTCAGTCAACATGGAAATTCGTCGAACAGTGAACGATTATATTGTTAAAAACATATTCGAATAGTAGTTATGATATTATAAATCAATTTAGATAAAATATTGAAATTGTGATACTGCATTCCTTTAGTTCGGACACCACCAGCTCTATACAGTTACAGCATTTTTGAAAGACATCCATCTTCATGAGAAATGTAGGTTTTAACCAAACTAGTCAGTTTATTTTGGTTTTCTGTGATATATTAATGATATTTTATATTATCGTTGACATCATAACTTTGGTTGTTCTTTATATATACATGTTGGAATTTGTATTAACTGGTTCTCGCCACGAATAGCTGGAAAATTGCGGCGAAAAACAACATTCATTCATTCATTCATTCATTCATTCATTCATTCATTCATTCATTCATTCATTCATTCATTCGCCACTAGCTCCAACTTAACGTTACAGGTTAAAGTTATGTATTGTACATAAATATTCAACATAAACATGTTTATATATATATTCACCAACTGAAATCTGTTTTTCCCGGAGCGGTATTTATATAAGCTATGTTTTGCTTGTTTAGAGAACCGGATTTCATTTGTGAAATAAAAGTATGTTCAAACCACATCAAGGTGACACGTCAAGACAATGCCTGAAATAAGGCTCGAGGTGGCGTTAAACCAAACTCACTCACTCACATATTCAACACCAACCACTAAGAGTGAGTGAGTGAGTTGTGTTTAACGCCGCTTTTAACATTATTCCAGTTATATCACGGCGTATCAGCTTAATGTGGGAGGAAAGCCCGAAGTGATGCAGGTCTTAGACGTTTACCACTTAGGTGACACCCACGAGCACCGGTATGGTGCTGACAAACCTAGAAACATAATCGGGGCGAACCGGGATTCGAACCCACAATCATAGGTTTCTGGCGTGCCCAAGGGACGCAACTCTGCACAGCGACTCGCGGCGCCTTGGAGGACGACTGGGTCAACCGTGTTAAATGCCCGTGACCAGACCCGTGATGTAACTGAAAAACTGTTCAAAGCTGACACGCCATGTTATAACTGAAATACTTTTCAAATGGGAAACTCACATCCAACCTACCCAATAAGCCCATCCTTACTTAACTGATAAATACTAGTAGTTTACTTTAATAACCTACGTGCGTATACATTGTAAACCCCCAAACCGAAAAATATCAGCAAACAAAAGGTTAAATATACTAGCCACATAAAGAAACTGTGCACGGAGAAAATATAGATATAAGGGCACACCGTCCACATATGAAATATAGGTTTGAACACAGCAATTATTGGAGACATTCAAACGCTAATGCACGTGCCATGCGATATGACGTCATTGATGGGGGCCTATGGACGTGCAATGTGTTACTGCACGTGCATCCTGTGCAGCTGTACTCAGCATGTGCAACTCAAAATTCGCTGTCACTTTGGAAAGCATGATCTGTGGTCATTCAAAAAATTCAAAACTGCTCAGGCGCAGACACAAGCCTATCACAAGCAAATCATGCCAAGATTGACAGCTGCACAGCGTCATGAAGGCATTGGAATGATCCGAGCGGGAATGAGGCAACAACAGGTGGCAACACATTTCCAATGCCATCGTAACACGATATCGGCATTGGTGAGGCGTTATCAGAACACAAATGACGTTGCCGACCACCCACGTTCAGGACGTCCCCGAGTAACGACGCCAAGACAAGACAGATGGATTCGAGTGACACATCTCCGACACAGGTTCCAAACGGCAGTAACCACGTCCCAGACAATTCCTGGACTGCGCCGTATCCATCCCATCACTGTCAGGAATCGTTTACGTCAGTACGGGATTCGACCACGACGCCCTGCCATACGTCCCATCCTGACACACCGTCATCGCGTCAACCGTCAAAGATGGTGTCGAAATCATGTTCGCCAACCTCGAATATGGTGGAGAAATGTTGTCTTTACAGTTGAATCGAGGTTCAACATTTCCCACAGTGACGGGCGCCAGCGTGTCTACCGGCGTTTGGGAGAACGTTATGCACGCAACTGTATTGTGGAGAGGAATCGTTTTGGAGGTGGCTCTGTGATGATTTGGGGTGGGATAACAGCACGGCACCGAACCCCTTTTGTGGTTGTTCAGGGCAATCTCACTGGTGTTGGCTTCAGAGATCAGATTCTGAGGCCTGTGGTCATTCCTTTCCTGCAACGTCATGGCCCGGGATTGACATTTCAACAGGACAACGATCGTCCTCACACGGCTAGGGTCGCAATGGATTTCCTTCACCATAACAATGTCATGTTACTGCCATGGCCTGCAAATTCTCCAGATCTCTCCCCAATAGAGCATGTTTTGGATGAAATGGAGCGCCGTCTGCGTCGTCTTCCACATCCTCCAGATAACGTCCGTGACTTGGCACAGGATTTGAGGAGGAAATGGCAGGCCATTCCCCAGGCCTTCCATGCCCATTTGGTGGACTCCATGCGTCGCCGATGCACTGCTGTGATTCACGCACAGGGTGGTCATACCCGTTATTGACTTTGTGACTTTGTCGTTTGACCCCCTACTCCATTTTGATCTTCTGACGTAATCGTAACAGATGTTGTTCAGGTCCGGTTGACATTTTCTTATGGTCCGATCATTCAGCTGCTGCAGTGTCTGCATCATTTTGTTCTTGCTGTGTTGTATTTCAATCCAGAATATATTTTCTCCGTGCACAGTTTTTTTATGTGGCTAGTATACATTATTATTGTGCATCCAATATGGCGGAACGTTGCCGGTAATCCAGCCTAATCTGGTTGACACTAACACAATGAGGCAGACCATATTAAATAAACACAACAAAGCCTTTTTCACATATTTCTAGTGACCTACTCATTAATATAGTTAACACCAGATTTATATAATATATACTACTCAACAGAAGTTAAGGCAGACCTGATTCTGTTAGCGAGAAAACATGAGAGTCTGTTGATCCGGACGGGCAAGTTAATTCTACTTCCGGAATCACGAGATTCGAGTGATTTGTCGGACTTATAATTTGGCATAATGACCTATAATTGCGTCAGTTTTACTTCTTTGAAATATACTCGACAAAATCCTTCCCATATTCATAAGAATTCTTTGCTAAAAGCAGAGGTGATTGTACCATTGCGACTTTGTCACAACATGTGGTTACGAATCCCTATCAAATAGTGATGATACCAGGTGTTCGCGAAAAGGGGAGCGTATCCTGCCCCAGTCCTCACAAACACTTGCGCCGGACATAATTTTTTGTCACTGATGTGTCACATTTGGAAATGTCCTCAATGTGTCCCAATGAGGCCTGAGGCCCCAAATGTTGTTACCTGTGTTGTTACCTATGTTGTTACCTTGATCAAAAACCTTTTGAGCAAGATCCGTTTGACGCATGCACGATTGCACCTTGAACGTTGTGAAATGTAACGGTGTAAGAATATACATCCAAACGTCGCTAAATGCGACAAACCAGAGGTTGTCATCTATAAGTTGTACGTTTTCTTACTTGTATTAGGTATATGCCTTCAAAGATGTTCATGTGGCGCTCTTTGAAATGGTATGCTCCATTGTACAGTAGACTACGGTTTTAACGAACTCAAAGGGACTACTAATTTTAGTTCGTTATAACCATAGTTCGTTATAAGCATATATACAGCATAACTACAGCAAATAATCGGGACCAAAAAGTAAGTTCGTTATATCCGTCAGTTCGTTATAAGCGTGTTCGTTTTAACCGTAGTCTACTGTACCTCAAAAGTTGTGAGCCCAAGGCTGGAGCTGCTGGATTATTGCAGGGAAAGTTGACGACTGAAAAATTAACGTCATCCCTCTTGTCATACAGCCTTGTGGAGAGTAACTTTCTTGATCTAAATCGTTGCATGAATCTAAATACGAAACAGACAAGACGGCTTCACTGGTCTCTTGTTATTTTTAGTTTAAGTGGGAAGGTAATTGGCTTTTTTATCATTATTCATCGATACACCTAAGGTGAAGCTTAAGTTAACAGGGAACTGTTTTGCACTTGATGACCTCTGTAATTCTGCCTATAGAGGAGGTGTACCACGCCAAGACGTACGGTGCGGCCTGCCCCCAAGTGATCGACACAGTGTTCGGCAACTTCACGGGCGCGACGATGTGGAACCCCCCGGGTGGGGTGATGAGCGAGGACTGCCTCTATCTCAATGTGTGGGTGCCACAGAAGAACTCGGGCCAGAGCAAGACCGTCATGGTGAGTCCTGGACCCAAACAGCGGTCTTAAATATTCGAGTCCGGACCGGACAATCCATTGATTGACGTCATGAGGATCTATCCACGAGATGGGATACGACGACATGACATGACATCCAGTTTGACTCATGTGGTCACTTCAGGCTTTCCTCCCACATCAAGGAATGTGATTGTGGTTATGATTTAAAATATGCTTAACATTTTTTATTAACATGCAGAAACTATGAAAATATTAGAACGAATATGTATTTTTACACCCATGGATATTACCTGAAACAGTTGTATATAGCAGCTCCTCGTTTATTGACTCAACCAACATGGAAATTCCGTAAATCATTCCACGATGAATCCCGGTTCGCCCCAATTATGTTTCTAGGTTTGTCAGCACCATACCCGTGCTCGTGGGTTTCACCGAAGTGGTAAACGTCTGAGACCTGCATCACTTCGGGCTTTCCTCCCATATTAAGCTGACACACCGTGATATAACTGGAATAATGTTAAAAGCGGCGTTTAACCCAACTCACTCATGCACAATAAACTTACACCCCGTGCAGAGTTAAACCAAACTCACTCACTGACACAGTTCTGTGTAACTGTCCTGAATCAAGAGATGTTCCCTTTTTCCCCCAGGTGTGGATACACGGGGGTAGCTTCTTCAGCGGCACCAGTAGTCTGTGGTTCTACAACGGCAATACAATGGCAGCTTCCAATGACGTCATCTTAGTCTCCTTTAACTACCGCTTGGGGGCGCTGGGCTTCCTGAGCTCCGGTGATGACCGAATCCCAGGTACGAATTAACCAGCTACCAACGCTCTTAGCGGGATTTCGTATTTCTTTCATTCATTTGCTGAAAGGATAAAGTTCATTTGCTTTTGGGGTTATTTGAATTTGCAAATATAAACATTTGAACGGTTTGTTTATTGTCTTGAAACGTATCGGACATGATAAGGTCTAGCTTTATTCTGAGTTGCTACAAGTATGCGTTGCGTGTTATGAACAGAAAATATCCCTATACGTATTTTCAGGAGTAATCCAGCTTGTCTTAGGTCCAAGATTGGGTCATGTTCACGCATCAGAAACAAGTACAATGTACTTCCTTTGTGACTCAGTTTTGTCTTACCTCTATTTTGGTGTTTAGCACTAGTTCTCAGACATTGGCTCTTCTATGTCATTCTCATGTCACTTTCAATACATTGCTATTTGTATATGTATCATGTTTGGGAGAGGCATTCAGATAAGCAAAATTTGCTTGTTTGCCAATCCCTCCACTTTATGGAAATAAATATGTTTATATCATATGGGCTTTTCTATAAAGATATCTTTAAAACGGTTGAGTCATTCTTTTGGAAATTGGTAGCTCTAGTGAACAAAGGACAGATAGCCTAACCTTGAAATTGAATGAACACCAAAAGGATTATGGCTGATTGGGGACTTTAATGAGTTGATGGTACGCCGGTGGTATGTAGTAGCTTTGGTCACGGTTGATTGATGGTTGGAGTCGTTTGATGTTGATGGTACCATCAACTCAACAAACCAAACACTATTTAAGTACATTCTTAAACTTGTTTTCTTATTCAAGGTAATTTCGGTCTGATGGACCAGGTGCTTGCTCTGAAATGGATCAAAAACAACATCAAGACGTTCGGGGGCGACCCAAACCAGGTGACCCTAGTTGGAGAGAGTGCAGGTGCGACCAGTGTCACCTACCATCTCCTGTCCCCCCTGAGTAGTGGACTATTCCAGCGGGCTATTATACAGAGCCACGCTGGTGACGCTGTTGTATTCAATGATCGAGAACTAGCTCGAGGCGGTGCGGTTACATTTTTCGATAGATTAAAATGCAAAGACAATGCTGAAATATTAGAATGTTTGCGAAAAGAACGCTTTGACACTTTCGTAAGAGAGCAATGGATGCCAGGCGGTATTTGCCCTCATAAACCCACAATATCACCTTTCATGCCACAACTACCGGAAGTTCTCCTTCGTGAAGGAGGCTTCAAAAAGAAGGCTGTCTTGATCGGCTCAAACAAAAACGAAGCGACCTATTTCATGATTTACCGTCTGAAATCTGTATCCATTAATGATCCTGTTAGCGGGCAAACACAACAGAACATAAAAGAAGCCATTAGGTTTTTCCATCCTGATTTGGACGAGGCTCAATGTGAGCGCGTCTTCAACTACTATACTGACAACATCGACGAAAACGACCTTGTCGGCAACCGTAACGCCGTTGATGCCCTGATGGGTGATCGCTACTTCACATGCCCTACTGTAAACGTGGCGGAGAGCAACGTCGCTGTTGGTGGTGAGACCTTCTACTACTACTACAACCACCGTGCGTCAAACGAAGTATGGCCTGCCTGGATGGGAGTGATGCATACTGCTGAGATAAAGGTGAGCAGGTCAATTTCTTTTTTCACCCAACAGTCTGAAGCATAATCTTTTCGGGTACAACCTATTTTTTACAAAAAACTCCCACCTCCGAATATAGGAGAGCTTGTCAAAAAGTTCTAAGCCTGACTTACTTTCAACCATGGGCCATAACAAAGTGAATTCGTCAATGTAGTACATTGTAGGTGTGTTTGGTATGTTGAGGCCGTTTGTATATAAGTGACAGCCAGTTGAACGTGATAGGGGTTGAAATGGACACAGAAATGGAAAACCCTTGGTCTGGACGTCCCCCAACTTCCATCAATGAAGATTCAATCAAGGAGACAGAATAAGTTATACTGTCAGACCATTAACATTGCCGAACTTGAGGAAGACACAGACCTTTGCCATGGATCCGTTGAAACTATTAATCATGAACATTTACAGATCAATAAGAAATTTGCTCGTTTGGTGCTTACGTTTCTAAATTCTGATCTTGAGGAAAATAGAACTGACATTGCCAGAGAAAGTTTAGAGCTAATTAAGGAGGATTTCATCAAATTCAAAAAGAGATTAGTTACGGGTAATAAAATGGGTCAACCACTATGAGTCAAAACGTCAATCCATGGAATGGCACCATTTCACTTCTCTGGCATCAAAGAAATATAAGTGTGCAAGATCAGTGCAGAAAGTTATGAGCACTGTATTCTGGGATGCAAAGGATGTGATTCTTTTGATTACTCAGACAGTTAAAAGATGATTACCGGTGCCTACCATGCTGATTTGCTTTATCGCCTGTGAATGCTGATTGATGGATTTCCACTTTTTCATGACAATGCCTCTTCTCACACCTCTTGACTTGCAATGACTGTGTGGCAGTGTGGATTCGAGGAGCTTCCTCGCCCTCCATACTTGCCAGACCTGGCACCAAGTGATTTCTACCTGTTTCCTTAATTGAAAGAACACCATCTTGGAAAGCGCTATGACGACAACGATGACCTCAAAGCTGCCGTGAATGGGTTTTGCAGGATGTCTTTAGAAACCTTCTTCCTGGCTGGAATTAAGAAGCCGAACTATCTATATGAGAAGTGTATTGTAAACCAGGGAGCTAATGTTGCAAAATAATATGAAAAACACTTTCACAAGTGTTGGTTTTGTCTGTTAGGCGTCAAACTTTTTGACCAGCCCTCATATGATATGCCATAGAAGTTTAGATACCAAGGGGAGATAAGCGATTCTGAAGCGAGTGTTTTTGGAATGGTAAATATCCTGTATCAGGAAGAAACATTGTATTTTGCCAGCATTGACGAGAGAAATACAGAGTGTTTATTCCGTGATGGAGAAATAAATTAAGATCATCTGTTGATTCCGGAATTAACAATAAACAGCTGGCATTTTGTATTGAGACTAAATATTTTTCACCTACATGTACATTGGAAAACCAGATATATTTTTTTTCTGTTTAAACTAAAAGCCCAAATATATTTGTTTTAAAAGCAGCTTGCAGCTTGGGGGGCTGACAATGTCTTTATTTTAATTATCAGAAAAGTCTTAAGGATAATTCATTCTTTTTTATAAAATGGAGTTCATTGTGTTATTTTGGTATTTGGAATCGAAAATCATCCCCACAAAGAATATACTACGATGCAAAGGTAAGCCTTTGGGACGCAAAGTTAGCAGAGGGTACGCAGGAAAAGCGATTTCAACATTATTTGGTCAGTGAAGGAAAAAGAACCATTTGGTTCGATGATAAATGAAATAAATAATAGAAACACTTAGACAGAGAAATCTTTGTTCATACCGATGGTTGCATTTACTACACTGTACGATAACTATGTTGACTTATGTTGAGTTTTTCTGTTTCCGACAGTTTGTATTTGGAGTGCCGTTGAACAACACCCTGGGATACACAGCTGAGGAGAAGAGATTCTCCCAGAGAATGATGTCCTACTGGACCAACTTTGCCAAGTCAGGGTAGGTATATAATTGGACATTTATATTGTGCATATTTTCACACCACACACAGGCATGCTCAAATCGCTATTAGTATCCCAGTCAATAGATCAGTGTGCACTCAACAATCATTATCAGCTCCCTGGGGAGTATTCAACCCAAGCTGCCTGTGAGGCGCAAGATGAACAACCCCCTTGCCATCTCATCCTGTATCAGCTTAATGGAAGGGATATCAGCGTTCTACGTAGGTATATCAGATTTCAATTTATGTACCAGGTCTATGAGTGTTTAGGGAGGTATGTAACCATAGCAAGTTATATCAGCATTCAGGGTAGGTATATCAGTGTTCGGGCTAGGTATATCAACGTCGAGGGTATGTATCAGCAATTGGTGTAGGTATTCAGCGTTCAGGGTAGGTATACCAGTGTTCGGGCTAGGTATATCAACGTTCAGGGTATGTTTCAGCAATTGGTGTAGGTATTCAGCATTCAGGGAAGGTGTATCAGCATTCAAGGAAGGTATCTCGGTATGCTGGGAAGGTATATCAACATTCGGGGTAGATACTAGTATATCAGGGTCCGGGGATGTAAAATAAGTGTTCAGGGTAAATATATTAGTATTCGGGATAGGTATGAAAGTATTCAGGGTAGTTATCTCGGTATTCGGGGAAGGTGGATCAGCGTTTGGGGTTGGTACGTCACCCTCAGGTTTGTCAGTGATCGGATTGTCAGAAATGTAATCTAAAATATTCTTCGTGACCTGTGTCGTTCCAGAAACCCAAATGGTCACGGTAACAGCCCCTGGCCAAAGTATACGTCCAGCAAGAGAGAGTTCCTGGAACTAGTTCTGCGAGAGAAGAAGCATGACGGAGGTCACAGGTTGGACGAGTGCCGGTTTTGGAGCAGCTTGCTCAACTCGAGCAACGGAAGCCATGTCAGCATCACCAGTGTCGCAGTGCTAGTGGTAGTCGCCATCTTCGGAGTGACGCTGTAGGGTTGTCACGTGTTGCAGGGTTATCACATGATGTACACCTGTCACGTGTCATAGGAGTATCACGTGATGTACACCTTTCATGGCAGGCACGTTTTGCCGTATTCCGGCGATAGTTTACTTGGTTTGCGAACATGTTTATTTCGACAGCAAGACTACTAGTCAACAAGAAGGAAATAGCGGCCTTGCGACGGATCTTTACCCCAGATTATGTTTTTCTGATGCATTTGCCCAACGCACTAAAACAATGAGAACAAAATTTAGGGATGCGTCATACGTATAGTATAATATCATTCTGATCAGAGATTTTACTGGATAAACAGATCTCTGGGTGAAGATATGAGGAACGCGCCTCTTTAGCTTCGCGATATGGAGAAGTTCGGGTAGTGTGTGGAAGCAAATATCAGTGCAAGAGACAATCACTTTGCCGAAACAATCAACTAATGACATGATGTGTAGATCTGTCTCAAAACAAACAATGTAGTCCGTATTTATTTGTATTTTCATACCTATTTTTGTTTTAATAAATGTCACTGATATTGTTTTCTTCTTTGTGGCCTTAACACCTTATCTATTGCCATGTTGTTCAGAAGTGTGATCTGATGTGGGACAATAATCAAGGGAGATAAATTACGATATGGAGAGTTACGTCCCTTTGTGTTGGGTTTGTTCGATTGAAGAAACTTGTTCAACAGGTCGTTGGTCAAGACGTTCATCACACCCGTGAAGCTGACGGACACGGCTAGTTCTCCTAAGCCAAGGATCATAATCAGGGGGAATCGGGGAATCATACGTAGCATCAGCAGATCCTGGTACAACTAACTGACGGGAGTCGCGTCTCTCTTGAGAGAACTTGGCTACCGATACTCCCACCAAAGTTGCCGAGGTGGCCAAGAGCCACCTTTAACAAATGGCGTGTAAGGAATTTGGAGTTTCAACCCACGGCATGTAGATCCTGTCATAAATAAGGTGCGCAAGTCTGAATTGCTGTGCGTGAAAGAATGGACTATGCTCGTACCCTCACAGATACGTGAGGGGAGGTGATAAAGGTTTTACGTCAGGTGTGCGTATATGTGTGTGCTTGTACTTTACAGAACAGAACAGAAAAAAAACATCTTTAACATAGTCATTTTCGATGCTTATGATGTTAATCACTTGATTATCTGGACCACACTGGATTATTTACAGACCGCCGTTATACAGCTAGCTGGAATATTGCTGAGTGTGTCGTTAAACAACAAACAGACAAAGCATACATGTGCGTGCGTGCGTGCGAGCGAGCGTGCGTGTCCGGACTAATGCCTATTTTATAGTGCTAGCCCACTGAGATACCATGCCGCAGTTTAACATGAGTACTGACACCGAGCCGAGCAGTTCTTGCTTCAGCCCCTTAATTTCGAGCGAAAGGCAAGGTAACTACAAGTACTATCTACTAACGTCTTTTGGTTTGAGGGGGCGGTCGGGTAGCCTAGTGGTTAAAGCGTTCGCTCGTCACGCCGAAGACCCGGGTTCGATTCCCGACATGGGTACAATGTGTGAAGCCCATTTCTGGTGTCCCCCCGCCTTGATATTGCTGGAATATTGCTAAAAGCGGCGTAAAACCATACTCACTCACTCACTTTTGGTTTGACGCGGCCGGAGAACGAACCCCGACCTTCTACAGTCTATCCAGACTTTTTAGCGGTTTAAGGCCGCACAATATTCCAGCTATATGACAGCCGTCCAAACTAATCAAGTCAGTCCAGTGATTAACATTATGAGCATGGATCTACGCATTTGGGATACGATGACGTGCATCAACCAAGTCAGCGAGCCTGGCCGCCTGATCCCGTTAGTCCCCTCTTACGACAAGAATAGTCGCATAGCATAGACAAGCATAGTCGCCTTTTACGACAAGCATAGTCACCTTTTACGACAAGCATAGTCGCCTTTTACGACAAGCATAGTCGCCTTTTACGACAAACATAGTCGCCTTTTACGACAAACATAGTCGCCTCTTACGACAAGCATAGTCGCCTCTTACGACAAGCATAGTCGCCTTTTACTGCAAGCAAAGTCGCCTTTTACTAAGAGGCAAGCATAGTCGCCTTTTACGGCAAGCATAGTCGCCTTTCACGACAAGCATAGTCGCCTTTTACGACAAGCATAGTCGCCTTTTACGAAAAGGATAGTCGCCTTTTACGACAAGCATAGTCGCCTTTTACGGCAAGCATAGTCGCCTTTTACGACAAGCATAGTCGCCTTTTACGACAAGCATAGTCGCCTTTTACGACAAGCATAGTCGCCTCTTAAGACAAGCATAGTCGCCTTTTACGGCAAGCATAGTCTACTTTTACGACAAGCGTAGTCGCCTCTTACGGCAAGCATAGTCGCCTTTTACGACAAGCATAGTCGCCTTTTACGGGGGGACACCAACAATAGGCTTTGTGTCAGGAATCGAACAGTCAAGGGACGCAACTCAAGAGACAAAACAGTTTCAATACCCCCAGTATATTTATTAGCTGAGTCAGCATCTACCAGTGAAGTCCTAGTTTCTGCACAACTGCCTCTGGACCAGTAGTTTCCTGTTCACACCATAGATGAGACCAGTGGTACTTGGCACAGTACTCGCCCCTGGTAAACCTAAAACACTCCACGTCCAGGACGCCGAAGAAGCCGGTGCCCACTTCGTTGGAGGCGGAGTTGTTTACGTTCTTGAAGAGGGGAAATAAGATTGTTACTTTTCTACTTTCATATATATACTCAAATGCAGGTAAGAACCTCCCAATTCTGTCATACTGCTATAGTTAATCTATAGTTACTTGATTGTTGTAAATCAAACTACAGACAGATTAACTATAGCAATATGAAAATATAGGGTGGTCCTTGACTTTTTTAGTAGTATATATGGCGAAACAAGACACACCTAGAGACTAAACATAAAACTTAAAGAATCCAAAATTGAAATCAGACTTTGAAGCCACGCAACTAGACAAAACAACTGAATTGAACGAAGCTAAAACAAAAACACGAAAACTGTATACCTTGAGGCACTGGAAGAGCGCCTTGTCACAATCACAGAGGCTGAGTGTCCATGGGTACAGGTTCTGGTAATGGTATTTGGACTCAAAGGCGTCGATAAAGTATGGACAGTGGTCATGTGTCCGGCAGCACGCGTCAGTCTGCCTCGAGGTCCCTGGAATAAATAAGGTCCCACGGAATTAATGACATGAAATACTCCTCACATCCACCTCATATTAAGAATCCGGTGGGTGGTGTATATTTCCCGTGTAGATTCCGGTGAGTAGTGCATATCCCCCTTGGGTAGTGTGTATCCGCCCGTCGATATTCCGGTGGGCAGTGCATATATCCCCCTTGGGGATTCCGGAAAGTGCATATCCCGCGTGGAGATTCCGGAGTAGTGCATAACTCCCGTGAGTACTGTATATCCGCCCGTTGATATTCCGGATGGTAGTGCGTATATCTCCCTTTGGAGATTCCGGAAAGTGCAGATCGACCTTGAGTAGTGTATATCCCCTCTTTGGGATTGCGGAAAGTGCATATCCATTGTGGACATTCCGGAGAAGAGCAAATCCCCTGTGAATAGTGTATATCCGCCCGAGGAGATTCCGGTTGGTGGTGCATATATCCTCCCTTGGGGATTCCGGAAAGTGCAGATCCCTCGTGAAGATTCCGGAAAGTGCTCACTCCCGTGAGTAGTGTATATCCGCTCGTGGAGATTCCCCTGGGTTGTGAATATCTCCTCCACCTGTATATATCCTCTGCAGAGACGACAAAGTCGGACAAACATTCCAAACTCATAAAACACATCAAGAAATCTACAGTATCAGAATACTCAACTGAAACCAGAGGCAAAAAATATTGACGAAACTCACCCAAGTCGTCGTAACTGTTGGCGACGTTTCCCTCCCCACACCACTTGGTCCCGGGGACGATGAGGAGGCTGCTCCCTGACCCTGCAGGCTGGGCGGTCTTCTCGGGGGCAAATGGCTGAGGCGGCAGAGCGGCCGGGGCGACAACTCGGTATGAGAACTGGTGACGCTGCTGACAGAGACTCACCACTTCTTTAATTTTTGCCTGTCCTAAAAGTTTTGAAGAGGAACGTTCGCGTTAATGGAAGGCCATCAACTGATCTGTTCATCCTATTGGATACTAAGTGTAACTTCTATGTTAAAGCGAGCGGGTATGAAAGTACGCATCTTCCCTAGGCAAGGGAGTTAACTGACTTTTAAGAGCCCAGTTTCCACTCAGTTAACTCCCTTGCCTCGGAAAGGTAGAAGTTACACCGCTTGGACGTGAACGATCTCTTGAGTGAGTGAGCTTGATTTAACGCCGCATTTAACAGTATTCCAGTTATATCACGGCGTGTCAGCTTAATGTGGGAGGAAAGGCCAAAGTGATGCAGGTCTCAGACGTTCACCACTTCGGTGAAACCCACGAGCACGGGTTTGGTGCTGACAAACCTAGAAATATAATCGGGGCGAACAGGGATTCGAACCCACAATCGTAGGTTTCTGGCGTGCAAAAAAAAGGGACGCAACTCTGCACAGCGAATCGCGGCGCCTTAGACGACTGGGCCACCCGTGCCCCCGAGCTCTTAAGTGAACCTCAACGACCAATGTCCTATATTTCGGTATCACTTATACGTTACTCAAAAATCTCCATTCGTAGAAGAAACAAGATACTATAAATGATGGAAAAATATTTCAATTATGTGCGGCATAATGTTTTCTTCTTCTACGAAGTGAGGTGAAATGGGGTTTAACGTCGCGTCCAAGATTATTGCACTTATATAGCGACGTGCATGCACGTGTCTGTGTGTGTGGCTGCTTGTACTAGTCCGGACTGATGCTGATTTATAGTGCTAGCCCACTGAGATACCATGCCGCAGTTTAACATGAATACCCCACTCAGACACAGTATACAGACTCCGAGCCGACCAGTCCTTGTTTTAGCCCCTTAATGCCGAGCGCCAGACAGGGTAACAACAAGTACCATATTTTAACGTCTTTTGGTATGACGCGGCAGGGGATCGAACCCCGGACCTTCCTCTCTCCGGACGGACGCTCTACCATTAGACTACGGAGGCGGCCTCTTCTTCTATGAAGCCTGATCTAGGTCAGGTCCGTGTCATTCTCACCAATTGTTTTCATGACGACATTTCTGTTGCCTAGTAACTTCGCCACTGCATCTTTGTCACGTGACAAGGAACATTTCAGGATACCACGGACCCTGCTGCCTACAGCTTCAATGTACACAGCGCCACCTGTCACCTGGATCTCGAGACCAGCGGGCGACAACTCTGTCTGGACATATGCGATGTCGTCTATGAAATGAAATGTGCAAATATTATAATGATCCACAAACACACTAGGCCCCTCAATGTAAGTAAGATATTCAGTCAATCAAGAATATCATTATGGTAATGTGAATGACTGGGTGGACTGAATATATGCGACACGGAAACAGCGCGATCAGTGTCCCCAGCCAAAAGAGTGAGTTGGGCTTAACGCCGCTTTGAACAGTACCCCAGTCACTGTGTGTCAGCTTGATGTGGGAGAAAAGTCAGAAGTGATTCAGGTTTCAGATGTGTACCGCTCAGGTGAAACCCACGGGTGAAGACAAACCTAGAAATATAATCGTGGCGAACAGGGATTCGAACCCACGATCACAGGTTGTTGGCGTGCTCAAGGGACGGAACTCTGCACAGCGTATTGTGGTGCCTCAGACGACTGGGCCCCCCTGGCCCCATCCTCCGCCATGGGCCGGGTACATTAAAAGTGTGTTTGTTTGTATATTTTATAGTACTGAACAACATGGAAGTTAATGTCAACTGAAGACAGAGCAAAAGCGTCTTATCAAGCTCTGAGAAGAGATAGGCACAAGGTTGGCTTAAAGTCTTGAGAAAATCTGATAAAATGTGAAAGTAGTACACACAAAAGGTTTTCCTGAAATAACTAATTCATGACACCAATTTTTTAACTCATTCTTTATAAGTATCTCTTAGATAAACTTACAACGTTTCATTTCATTCATGGGAAAACTCGTTTCAATCGAAGACACGACGCACTATTACAAATATCATACCGGGGGACACCAAAAATGGGCTTCACAAATTGTACCCATGTCGGGAATCGACCCGGGTCTTCTGTACCAGCTGTACAGTGACGTCTGTACCGGTCACTGATATCCCAAACAAGCTCATCATGCTTGTGTGCATGGCTGACCCCATGCACGTGTAAACTGATGCAATGTTGCCCGTGTAACTGACCCCGTGATGCATGTGTAAACTGATGCAATGATGCCCGTGTAACTGACCCCGTGATGCACGTGTAAACTGATGCAATGATGCCCGTGTAAAATGACCCCATGATGCAGGTGTAAACTGACCCCGTGATGCACGTGTAAACTGATGCAATGATGCCCCTGTAAACTGACCCCATTCTGCACGTGAAACCGACCCTATAATACACGTGTAAACTGATGCAATGATGCCCCTGTAAACTGCATGACCCCATTGTGCACGTGAAACCGACCCTATAATACACGTGTAAACTGATGCAATGAAGCACGTGCAAATGACCCCATAATGCCCCTGTAAACTGACCCCATGATGCACGTGTAAACTGAGCCCATGATGCACGTGTAAACTGACCCCATGACGCACGTGTAAACTGGAATCTTTGATGCACGTGTAACTGATGCCATAGTGCACGTCATATTTGACGGTTCCCCGAGTTAAGGTCCAATAAAACTCGATGTGAGCCTGTGAAGGTTATGCCTTTAAAGCTCCTTTTCGGGACAACCCCCACCAAACATCAACTATTCATAAAATATACAGGTCCACATATTCACACAAAAGTAAATAAAAAAGATGAAACTTCCACGTACCCGGATGCAGCGCAACAACCGTTATGACGACGCACCCGAGCCAGCAGAGGACGGGACCGACCGCCATCTTGTCTGTGGGCGATATAAAGAATGTTTTCAACTAAAACAAGCATGGAGCGAGGCCACAAGGTTATGAGGAAATATTTTCTTATCGGCACCTGGCCTGACATAACTATATCAAGATCGTCTCCATTACCGTGCCGCCTGACATAATTCTTGTGACCTACTGATTAAAGTAGTGATGCCAGATTTTATTTAACATAATCTCGTGAAGATAATACCCGATTCTGTGAGGCAGAAATCATGAGAATATTTTGATCCGGAAGCTCATGTTAATTCTACTTCCGGGATAAACAGATTCGAGTGATTTGTCGGACCTACACCATGTTATGGTTGAAACAATTTCTTCATAATTTTGCATAATGACCTATAGTTGCGCCAGGTCTACTTCTTTGAAATGAAAGCGAAACAACCTTTTCCATATTTCTAAGAAATATCTGAAAAAAACAGCGAGTATGGTTTTACACCGCTTTTAGCAATATTCCAGCAATATCACGGCGGGGACACCAGAAATGGGCTTCACACATTGTACCCATGTCGGGCATCGAACCCGGATCTTCGGCGTGACGAGCGAACGCTTTAACCACTAGGCTACCCGACCGCCCCTTCTGCAAAAAGCAAAGTCGATTGTACGGTTTCGTCTATATCCTTAGCATGTGTTTATGAATGATTATGAAATAGTGATGATACCAGGTGTTCGCGAAAAGGTGAGCGTATGGCCAGTGAATTCCTGGTTCAGAATCAAGTGCAACAAGAGAATGACGTCATCATAACGGTTTTATTCATATCACTATAGTTAATCTATCATTCTTAAACAGCTTTTGACTGGTATATTTAGGTCAAAAGATCGTTCAGTGTTATTTGGACCTTTAAGTAGATTCGAAAAATAATTGACATATTAATGTATTCGTTGACTTGATTTATCTCACCAGCAAATCGTTTAAAGGAATTGTTCCACATTGTATTGCCACGAGCCAGGTAAGGTCAATGGTAAGGTAAGGTGAAATTGGGTTTAACGTCGCGTCTAAGATTATTACACTTATATGCGACGTGCATACATGTGTGTGTGTTTGGCTACTTGTACTAGTCCGGACTGATGCCGATTTATAGTGCTAGCTCATTGAGATACCATGCCGCAGTTTAACATGAATACCCCACTCAGACACTGTATACTGACTCCGAACCCACGGGTCCTTGTTTTAGCCCCTTATGCCAAGCGCCAGACAGGGTAACAACAAGTACCATCTTTTAACGTTTTTGGTATGATGCGGCCGCTTTGAACGCCCTACCATCCACTCTCCTGGCGGACGCTCTACCACTAGACCACGGAGTTGGTCTGTGAGGTCAATGGGATTTGGGATCAGTGCTACAATTTCGGCGTCCAAACAGAGGTGCAACCGGAAGAAAAGGAAATGATTACCATTTTCGCGAACACCTGGCTTCATCATGAAGTATATTATGTCCATCAAATGATACTGGAGATGAATACCATTATTTGTGTGTTTTTTAATGAATGAAGAAGGTTTCAATTTCCTTATTATTTAATCGACTATCAGTTTTTAAAATGACCAAGTTATTTCAAAATAAAAACATATCTACTCTCCGGAAAGTGTCTCATTTCCGTCGCCACGTTCTTTCTTTGTACATTTAAATTGAACTATTGTATATTGTGCCGCCATGTCACACACAAAAATAAAGACCTCTGTCAAGTCCTTATTATGCAATGTTCATGGCCTTGAGTTTTGTTGGTTTGTTGTTTAACGCCGCACTCAGCAATATGCCAACTATACGACGGCGGTCTGTAAATAATCGAGTCTGGACCAGACAATCAAGTGATTGACATCATGAGCATCGATCCGTGCAATAGGGATACGATGACATGCATCAACCAAGTCAGCGGGCCTGACCACTCGATCCCGTTAGTCGCCTTTTACGACAAACATAGTCGCCTTTTACGGCAAGCATGGGTAGCTGAAGACCTGTCCTACCTCGGATCTTCACGGGTCCATAGCCTTGGGTGAATAAAGTTCTTTTCTGATTATCAGTGACCCAAACGTATAATTGTCACCACTATTTTGCCTTTTATACCCAGTGAAATCTGTTCCGGCAGATAAGCGAGACTGGTTATTCTCTGGTGTTGATATTTCCTATTTTGTCAGCCTACCGTGTTATAAAATAGTTTCCCGAAATGCTTGAACGTGGCGAACAAAAAGAGTGTGTGTGTAAGTTGAGTTTAACAGTATCGAACAGTATTCAGTCATATCACGACTTGTCATCAATGAATTATATCATCGACAATTTAGTAATGAGTGAGAATTGTTTGTCGCTTTTATCAATTCTCCCGTAATATCACGACGGGGGCACAAGGACTGGACTTCACATGTTGTACCCAATCTAGGGATTCGAACCCCGTCTCCGGCGTAGCGAGCGAACGCGTTAACCACTAGGCTATCCCAGCTGCCACGAGACTAGTGAGCCACTAACAGGCAACATTTACACGTTACTGAATCCAAGTTGGCCCATCCAACGCGCTATTCATCTAGTGTCAACGCATCCCAATCGGCAAGTGAGAAAACATTTCGCGTTTGGGCATAAAATCAAATGAATGTCAGTCATTGCATGAGGAGAGTCTTATTACTCTACGATATACTATTCAAAATAAGTTAGAGAACACCCAATTTACAATAGCCATATGAAAGAATTGGGTCTTAACTTCCTTTGAGTAGTATATATGAGGCTACAAGAACAAATATAATCTTTCTCTCGTTCCTACCTTTTACACAACTGAGAGGAAGATCGAATTATCATTTATATTTTATTACGGTTTTCTAAACGCTCAAAACTAAATTCACGATTTATATCTGCAAATACACCTGTCGTTATCATTTATAATTTATACTTTTTACCTTTCGATTTTCCGTCATGTGTTTAATTCCCACCACAGGAGTATAACATAAGCATATATATTATTGATTTGGATTTAATTATTTTTTTCTGCTTTTGAGCGTCAAATTATAGGATATAAATTGTGCCCGTAAGGATAGGGTTCACGTTGGTCCCACATGTTCTGAGCGTAAGGATTTGGTCTATTTTCGCTCTACATATGACGAGCCTTAGGACATGGGTAATTATGTCCGCAAATGCACCTAATAAAAGGGCTGGTTAGTTTTGTTTAACCGTCATGATGGGAATAAGTTGCTGAGATCCCATGTTTTTAGATCCGAACTTACGACCAGCGGTTCAGGCCATCGCCAAGGTACGTAACTCCGCACAGCGACTGGGTCACCCGTCCCCAGAATAGCATCAACGAGATATGTAGATTCCTTTATATACAGGCTGCAGAGTAGACTAACGCCAAGTCTCTAAAAAAATGTAATTTTGATAGAAACAAACAACTCCATTGAAATAACAAAGGAGTCCAAATGACATGAACCTGGAGAAAATCTAGACTTGCTTCATCTGAGGTACAGCATGACAGTAAGGGCTGGGCGGAAGGGAAAATAATATGGGTCAGGGACATTGAGACAGACTAGCTCCAGATAAATCCTCTGGTTTGCCGGTCAGGCAGAATATCCTCATGCAAAATCACAATTTATGTAGGTCACCCTTGTGCACCGTCATGATATTGATGAGTTTTTGTTCACTCGTCACGAGAATACTAAAATCAAACATATCTTACCAGATAATATACAGCTCAGGTGCATTAACACTGCAACTGTCGGTCGTCATCCCGGACAGGTACAGACGGGCTTTAAAGATGCTGCTATGACGAGATAATCTGAATGATCGGAGTATATAGACGTGTATTGGCCGCTCGGAGTATATAGACGTGTATTTGCCGCTCTGAGTATACAGACGTGTATTGACTGCCCGAGATATATAGCTCTGCATTGTCTACATGGATATAAAAGTATTCATCCAGTATCAAGAAGATAACCCAGCTGTTTCGGGGGTCGATGCAGTTGGACAATGTAAAATCGGTACACAACTCTTGTGTGTCATTCCAATAGGGCCATAACTGATAAATTGTCAACGTTAGAAACTAGTGAGTAAGAGACTAAGTGTTCCCGCTTCGGCAAATTTTGAAAATTGTTTTCATTGGTAAATTACATGTTCAACATATAATTCGTTATTACACAAGCGGATAAAGAAAGGGAGATCCCATAACTGCCGTCTGAAACCACAGATGACGTCAAATACATCTGTCATAATTTTTATACATTTTCATTCGATTTTCCGCCATATGGTTAACTCCAGTCACGTGACGTGGACGATGCACCACGTGGCCTAGTTATGGGGAATATAGCATCCTTCAATGTAAGCAGCAGATGTAATGATACATCAAATTGATTAAAGTGTGCCATGGAAGAGCTAGGATATAAGTCACTGACAAGCAGTAAACTTGTCCAAATGAGGATATGGCTTAGAACAAAATGTTTTCCAAAATTTAAATGTCCATAAAATAATCAAGATAAACGTTCGTATTTGTAATCATATGTTTAACGTTGATATGATATTATCCGACATCAAGCGATCCTCTAGACGGATTATGAAGTCTGACATTGTTTTTACCAGATTCACATTTGTAACCAGCGACATATTTCGGGATAATCACAGGTGCGCTAATGAACCTGTCTTCCAACTCTCTCTGTCGTTTCTCCTCACATCATGATCAAACATTACTATATTACGATCAATTTCTTACAAAGGGCGTTACATGTAAATTTAGCGAATTCATGAAGCCAATATTGTCACCTGGATGCTATCGTGGACTAATATACCACAGATGGCGCCACGAGGCGAGATGAAACGTGCAGCTGTTGTTAAATATATGTCATAAGCCAACAAGAGTTATGTCCCTTGCACCCACGATGTCCCAATATGAACTTATTCCACATGATATGAGCGAGCGAGCGAGTATGGTTTTACGCCGCTTTTAGCAATATTCGAGCAATATCACGGCGGGGGACACCAGAAATGGGCTTCACACATTGTACCCATGTCGGGAATCGAACCCGGGTCTTCGGCGTGACGAGCGAACGCTTTAACCACTAGGCTACCCGACCGCCCCCCACATGATATGAACATCATTAGTAAAATAAAACAACGGTACAATAACGAGTGGGACAAACAGTCTGACGAAGTATACATGCATTGCGTTTAACAGGTCACTTTCAGCTGGTGTGAGGACTTGACCATTAAGTATGGAGTGCGTGAGGACTTAACCATTAAGTGTGGAGTGCGTGAGGACTTGACCATTAAGTATGGAGTGCGTGAGGACTTGATCATTAAGTATGGAGTGCGTGAGGACTTGACCATTAGGTATGGAGGGCGTGAGGACTTGATCATTAGGTATGGAGGGCGTGAGGACTTGATCATTAGGTATGGAGGGCGTGAGGACTTGATCATTAAGTGTGGAGTGCGTGAGGACTTAACCATTAAGTGTGGAGTGCGTGAAGACTTGACCATTAAGTATGGAGTGCGTGAGGACTTGACCATTAAGTGTGGAGTGCGTGAGGACTTGACCATTAAGTGTGGAGTGCGTGAGGACTTGACCATTAAGTGTGGAGTGCGTAACGACTTGACCATTAGGTGTGGAGTGCGTGAGGACTTGACCATTAAGTGTGGAGTGCGTTGGGACATACCATTATGATTTTCAAAAATGTCTCACTTTCAAAATACAGTAAACTATGTTTATAACGAACACGCTTATAACAAAACTGACCGAAATAACGAACTTATTTTTTCCTCTCGGTCATTTGCAGTTCTGTGCATATGCTTTGTAGGTACTTTTAAAAGTACATAATAGCAGTTAAAATATCAAATACCACTTCACATATAACCAATTTGGGCTTAAAAATGTCTTAACATAAATATAGAAACAAGTATTTGTCACAAAGTGACGAAATGTACCCCGCCTGTATATACACCATAGTACCAAATATGAAGACAATCCAGAGATTAGTTCTTGAGATATTGCGGCAACACCGTTTTCCAACTCCAAAAGCAGATTTGCCTGCTGTGATCTTGAAAATGGGGTCAAGGTCACCAAAACCGACTGGTGTCTGCGGAGTCTGTATATACACCATAATTCCAAATATGAAAACAATCCAGCGATTAGTTCTTGAGATATCGCGGCAACACCGTTTTCCAACTCCAAAAGCAGATTTGCCTGCTGTGATCTTGAAAATGGGGTCAAGGTCACCAAAACCGACTGGTGTCTGCGGAGTCTGTATATACACCATAGTTCCAAATATGAAGACAATCCAGGGATTAGTTCTTGAGATATCGCGGCAACAAACAGGTGGGACGTACGGACGGACGGACGGACGGACGGACGGTCGTGAATACTATATCCCCCGCTTCGCGCTTTCGCGCGGCGGGGGACAACAACCAAATGATGAAACATTGATACACACACTCAGGTTAGCACGGCTGAGATACAGCATCGGCATACTCAACTGGAGTTGTTTTCTGCCGGTCGTAAGTTCATTGTTTGACTGAGCACACTCGTGTCGGGGTTGCGATATGTTCTTCTCTTTGTTGGCAGCCTGCCACCGGTCTGAATTTTGAGAAAGGTCTCAGCATGGGACTGTTAATTACTTCTTAATGATGTCTACAAGCTTACAAACTTGTAGATGTTGGGTGCGGTTAGGACCAAACTTTTTCAGCTCAGAGTGTTAGTGGTCCTGGAACCCATAGTGTCAAACAGGTTCTGCACAAAACGTCCATCAGATTCTACTGTTCAGCAACATTGTCACTGAATTTCAGAACTCTGGCATGATATAATAATCAAGGATTTCGAAGGTGAACGAGGGGAAAGGCAGACGCACGTGGATTTACCCTCAGGTTATTATTGTCTGGAGTTCACATTTTGGGGCATTTCATATACTAATTGAACAGAGTTCACCTGCACATGTCCACTTTAGTGATACAGACTGTAACCAAAAATGCAATGAGCCGTAGCTCTTAATCCCTTATAACAACGGTAACAACAACCAGGGTGAGGACACAGTAAGGTTAAACCGTGTCCAACAGACAATCTGAGGTGGCTATCTCCCATCAAGTCAGCTCTGTTTTTAAGCGCATAGTTATGTTTTTACATATTGAAATAAAAGGAATTAAAAAAATTATATTTAACAAACCTACACATTAGCAAATACAAAACTTTATAACCCTTTCTAGACTTCGTTCCAATTAACCTGGATCATTCAACTCGATCGCGAAGGTCGTATGCGACTTTAAAGTGAATACGTCTACAGTGTACAAGTAACTTTTAACTGTATCATATATACTCATGATAAGCAATTATTTTCGTTCCTAATTCGAATGTGCACATTCTGAGGCTAAATCTGCAAAAGGACAGATAAAATATTTCTTTGTACAATGCAAATGATACAAACGTAGCGGCTGATAATAGAGACAATGATTTAATAATCTGCAATATATCAAGTGTTCTCGTTCAATCTATTGTACATATTGAAGTGATTGTAAAGTTTCAAGGAGTACTAAAATGTTGTGGTATTATGAATGTATTTAGAATATGAATAGCGAAAAACAGTCACCATATCGGATGTACATGTATAACTTGTCTTCCAACACCACGCTTGTGCCGAGGCCCATGGTAATAAAACTAATCGGTCCCATAAAAGGAGCAAATAGTTTCGCAGATACTTCTTGCTATGGTTCACTCCCAATTGTCAGACGACCTAATCATCAGTCAGACCAGTCAAGTGTGACCAGCGTACCTGCCTGGATTTGGCTCCTAATTACTGAACTGCCCAATACTGTCATACTGTGGGCAGAGTAAGCGGCCTCGTTGAGTGATACAGACTAACCAGATTATGATTGTGTTTGTAAGTTGCGTTTAATCTGTGTCGGGTTGCAGTTGTTTTATAAGTCAAGACTAGGGTCAGTTTTTTCAATGAAACCTTTTTAGTTTGTTTTGCATTCATTTCATTAAATACATTGTTAGGTAGAATAATAACACACTATATGGATTAAACATCTCCCTAATCTGAGTATAATCTCACATGTACTCTAAGTACCGTACTATATTACTTTGCGGAGACACTGAGTATAATTTTTTAGTTGGCATTGTATGCTGTCTGAATGACTTTACACAAATCCCTGCATTCAATAGACCCGTGAAGATCTTCAACAAACCATTCTTGGCGTAATAGGGCGACAGCGCTTGTCGTAAGAAGCGACTACCGGGATCGGGTGGTCAGGCTCGCTGACTTGGTTGATGCATGTCATCGTATCCCAATTGCGTGGACCGATGCACATGATGTCAATCACTGGATTGTCTGGTCCAGACTCGATTATTTACAGACCGCCGTCATACAGCTGAAATATTGCTAAGTGTGGCGTTATACAACTAACAAACAAACAAAACACAAAAAGAGAAAGTGTATGAGTACTAAAACTTGCAATAGATATGCGTACCCTAGCTACGTACACACATGAGTCCCATTCGACAGTCTACAACACACGAATAACTGTCAAACAAGTTTGGGTACCCCTTCTGTTCAGGCAAGTTATTTAGTTCGATAATTTTGTATTAAAATCCTTTTCAATTTGTTTTCATCCTTTTTCCCTATTCCATGCATGTTTATGTTGCTACATCTTATTGCTCATGTTTCCAAGTATTGTAAAACACTTTAATGTTTCTCCTTCTTAATCTAACGTTATAACATTTCCGGTCATGGACATCATCTAATACACAAGAGATGATACCAAGACATATTTTATTCGGTTTTATGGTCTATGCGGTCTTACAATTGATTTTATAAGTCATTAAATCTTATGTCTAGTAAATATTTTCACAAACAGGGCTGTTAACTGATATAAGGAATGTA